TCTTAATATATGTATACATGAAATTCGTTATCTCCTTTGGCCTTATTTGCGAACAAATAATTCGGAAGTTTTGGGAAAATTTTTTAATTGGTTCGAAAATTTTCGCTACTACTATTCCAAATATTACCTTATTTTTCTAAAAGACCAGCTACATAAACATTGAGACTTACATACATACATTTTTTCAAAATTTTCTTTTTGACTAGGAATATTTCTGCATCAAAAAGAAAATTTTGAAAAAAATATCGCTTACGTTGTTTTGGCGGTTAGAGCTCGTTATATTCTCATTTTGGTTTTTGGTGTTATAAATACATAATATTTACTAAAGCCATGTGTCCAAAAAAAGCGACCGATATCTTCTTAATAAACCTATTTTTAAAAGTAGAGTTTTCCAAAAGTTATATATTTATGTACATACTTATGTTCAGAATCAGTGACCGAAAAATGTATTATATAATAAACTATTGGCTTTATATTCTTTGATACGCATTTATTTACGAGTGATGGCTCTTAAATTTGCCTTTTACTATATCTTCACTCACTTTGCTCTATGAAATATAAAAAATTGCACAGTTTTATCCAATGAAAATGCAATTATGTTTACACGCCACATTTAACAGCTAACAATGCCATTTGGAATTGTCTCTTAATTTACTGATTTATACCGAACAATATTATTATCTTCCTACTAAATGTCTGTACAGACAATTGTCTGCCGTAGAGATTTAATGCCGCAATTTAGACTCAGATTTAGTAGGACCATGGCAGTTAAATTATTTATCCATATGTACAGCTTTACTTGCATATGGACGTGCATATACATATGTATATTTATGTACACACACTTGTGTGACTGCAATTGTAGGATTGCAAATAGAATTTAGTGCGTTATATTAAAATAAAGGGAATTAAACAGTTTATCATCATCACGTCAGCCAACATTGGTAAGCATACTTGGAGGGACTTTGGTTTATGTTAACAATTATGTATTATGTATTTGATTTGTCTAGTCGCTTTGTGTTTGTGGAATTTTTTCGTATGCCATCAAAAGAGGCGTCCGGGGCGTATGAGTAACAAATGAATGTAGGGCTTAGTACACGCATACATCGGTACATATATATGTATGTATGTGCATTACACCTATTTTAGTTATCTAAACTTTGCTTTAGATAAATTTAAAGCTCTTCTAAATATTTTAAGAAACTTGAATTTTCTTCTATGGCTTTTAACGCATGCGATATTGAGAAATCATTCATTAGTTACTTCTCACCGTTACGCCGCGTATATATGTATGCATGTCACGTAGAAATGCAAATAATCTTCTATTGACATAACGAATCATTTGTGTTGAAATATTAATTGGCTCATCTGTTGCAAGTTGCCAAGATGCATATTGACTCACGGCTAAGGCGAAATGCGAGTGGCACTGTTGCTAGTTTGCCTTAAATTTCTGCCCAAGATTGAGTAAAGGCTTTTAGCCTTTCACAGAATATTAACAATATATATATGTATGCATATGTGTATATTCAATAGACTAAGGTTACCATATGAAAATTAATATATTAATTAATATTATATGAAAATTATTATATTATTTATAATTTCCTTGTTTATAGGCACTTCTTTATTGTTCCGACAGGGTAAGAAGATGATTTACTATGGAACGAATTTCCGTTATTTTTTGTCAAGTTTAGAGACAAACCAGTTTTGGACTACCTAGTTATGTAACACAAATAAACTTGAACTAGACAGAATAAAAAATTACACTTAGTAAATTAATAGTAAAAAAAAAATTTAAACAAGCTTTCTAGATACGGGTTTTTCAAATGTCTCGACTGCTGCGCCACCTATCGGGTCAATTCATGTTGCATTGTCATCGGGTTATAAGCTTAATTTGAAGTTTCAAATCTCTAGCTCATCGGGAAGTTGTTGAAATATTGATAGCAAAGTTCCAGGACATACATACATACAAGTGAAGTGTATGAAAAGCATAACGCCGAAATCGATTTATTTCCAACTCAAACTTGACATGGAATGATGAAAATTCGTTCTAAAATAAATACAAAATTAAGCAAATATCTGGCGCTTTAGAGAATGACACTTTTGATTCGCTACAAAGTAATAAATACGTGATATAATTAAATGTGGAATCCCCTAAAAATTTTAAATCAGAGGTAACAACTAAAACTTCTTTATGGCATGTTCAGACAGGCCACCAAACGAGCAATTAGCCAAGCTTTCTCGATTTATGCGCTAATTGAGCTCGATTTACCATAAAAAATTTTAATTCTTAATTTCTACCGTACTTTACGGTTTTCCGTTTTAAATCTGGCATCTCAATTGATTGGGCGGCCGCTGTGGTGTGGTGATTAGCAGTACGCGCAACCATTCCGCATGGCCTGGGTTCAAGCCCGGTTTAACCCAAGATCAAGAAATAAAAAAAAATGGCAAACTTCGGAGTTTATTTCTGGCATTTGGAGTCGGCGTAAAACTGCGGTCCTTCCCATTTCTGTGAAAACATCAAGGCGCAAGCCGCAAATCGGAGAAGAAGCTCGGCCAAACACTAACATACTACATGCGTGTAAGCGCCAATCTCTATGTATTTATATATCTCTCTGTAGAAAAACCGAAACAAAACTAAAAAGAAAATCACTCATAGCGTTATTGTAACCTAAATGGGACTGCACGTTTTGAAATTGATTTCACAGATCAAACGTACTCGCATTTTATTATTGTTATTTCTTTACATATAGCTGCTACTTTTAATGCAAAAATAGTCTATTGAATATCAACACAACCAAAAGCAAATATCGACGGTAAATTTTTTCCACTTCTACTATATTTTTTGGGTTACAGTAAGTTTTAGAAAATTATAATGATTTAGTTGAAGGTGACACTCACATATTAACGGTTAAAAAGAACTTATTTTACATAACGAGAATACTTGCATAGCTGCGTAGTAAAAGATACGTTAAAAAAGCCGAAAAACTAATAAATATAGGTGAAACAAATAATATTTTTCTACATATTTATATGTATATATGTACATACGTATTACAATTAATAGGTAAATATTTATCTAGTGAATTATTTTTCTTTTTTTTTAATCTTCAAAAGTTAAAAAAAAACAAACCCGTGTGCTAACTTTTTCGTAAAATTTATAGGCGCGTATTGATTTGTGAAGTTTTGACCATTAATTTTTTATTATTAAATTTACAGTATTTTTATAAAAATTCTCTAACAAAAAACGTATAAATCCGAATTGCAAACTTTGTGCGATACTTATAAAAATTAATGAAATTTGGTACAAATTTTGAGCTTTTTAGTTAGATTTCTTACAAAGATCTTAAGTACACGGTTTTGCGGCCCATTCAGTTATTAACCGACTTCCAAAAAAGGAGGGGGTTATCAGTTTGTCGGAATATTTTCTTTTTTATGGTTATGTACGCAGCTATGAAAAAACTCGTAACTTATACAGTTTTGGTGTTTCCATTCGCAAATTTTTATTGCGTACTCCATAAAATTTGACAACTATTCAGGTTAAAAAAAATAAAAACCAAATATGATGAAGTTAATAAACAATAAAAAATGCGAATTTTTAATGCAAAATTTATTATTATTTTAAACTATCTCACACTCTCATGGAAAGCCGAGGTAATTACGCACATTTTGATACCTTAACTAATATTCTCCAATAAATAGTTTATTAACTGCAAACAATTGAAAAAGGTACTTCTCCGTGAGTTCAAAATTCCGGGAATTTTTTTTCGAGATTTTCGAATATCATGACAAAATAAAAAAAAAATAGAGGTCTTCTTTTTTCGATAAAGAATGTAAAAAATATATTTCACCCCACAAAAATTTTGAGGTGTAAATATTGTATGGAATGACCCATATATATATATTTTTTTTTTTTATATGAGAATTGAAGTCGGTTTTGTTTTTTGCTAAAAATTATTTGCAGTATAATAAAGTGCAAGCTTTGAGATATGTAGGACTCACCGTTGATTTTTGACAATTTTTGTTTGTTACCTCCATATACAAATAGCGTTGTGTATGTATGACGGGATATGAAACGACATACTCAAAATCTTTTTAAGAAATTAAATAAAAAAACTGGAATTTTTTTCGAAAATTTGTTGAGTTTTTTTTAATATTGCACAAAGTTTGAAAATCTTATTTACATATATAGTTTTTATACGTAACCCACATATTGACAAGTTTTCACCTTATTTTTTCATTATATAATTTTAAATATTTTTTTTATAAAAATAAAGTATCATTTCTAACAAAAACTATATATGTAAATAAGAATTTCAAACTTTATGCAATATTAAAAAAAAACTCAACAAATTTTCGAAAAAATTCCAGTTTTTTAATTGTTATAAGCACTATATAAGAAACCACTTTAAAAAAAAAAAAATCATAAACTTAATACCAATTTCTAATATTTAACTGACAAATTTGTTCAGTAATCCTTAATTCTATGTATAAGCAAAGCAAAATTACAACTCAATCTCTTATCTTTGAAATCACTTAATAAATACTAAGAAAACTGCTATCACTTATCAATTACGCCTACCCAATGCAACAGCAATAATTAATCATAACCTCAAATTCTCAACCTAAATAACGCTTTCTTACGTAATAAGATAAATTATTTAAAAGCAAAAGTCAGTTTACTTACAAACATATGTACATATAAATACATTTACGAAGGCAGCCCATTTGCAATCATTCACTTCTCTTCTTTTTTTCTTTCCTCTTACAGCGCGCAACGAAAATGGCTTTCAGCTATTCAAAATGGAAGCTGGTAAATTAATTAATGGCTGTAGTCATCATAACTCAACAGATTTACACAAACAAATAACTCCTAAAGCAATATAAAGGAAAGCGCGCACACACAAATAAATATCCCAGAAGCGATTCAAACATTTGCCCAACTCCCGCACCTCACCTCCCTATTTTGAGCGCTCGACTGCGAGCATCTTAGGCCGAAAATGTATGGGTTATTATTGGAGAATCTCTCCGAGTATATCAAATCCGTTTACGGTGAGGACAAATGGGAGGATATACGACGTCAATCTGGCATCGATTCGCCATCGTTCAGTGTGCATCAAGTTTATCCAGAGAATATGCTGAACAAGTTGGCGAAAAAGGCGCAACAGGTAAGTCGAATGAAGTGGATGTTCGTAAATAAATGCATCAATGATATGCATGCGTACATATGTAGATATGTAAATATTTTAAACCGAAAGGCATTTAGTATGTATGCCTGTAAGTACCTCTAAAACACGCTGAAAAACATGTCAAAGGGATAAGAAAACGAAGTGCAAATTAACTGGATTACCTGCTTATGAATATGTATAATTAATTGAGCTGCTAATTGGTCGTCTTTGAGTTGAAAGCTTACACCAGAGCTTCCTAAAGTGGGTTCCGTGAAATGAATTTTAGTATGAACAAGCACCGCGGTCAGTTTGAGTTGCACACAGAGAGCAATGTTCTATGAACATTTACCAGATATTGTAAATGTTATCCGATTTTAATAAAATTTTGTATGTAGCTTAGTTTTAGCTAGAAAGATTTAAATCTGAGAGCTAGTACAAATTTACACTTTAAATATAGAAAAAATCTATCGCCCTCCTGTATGCCATATAAACACAATTCACATGAAAGTGCCTGAGTTTCAAATGGAAGGGCAAAGCAAAAGCATTCTTCCAACGTTGGATAGCAGAAAAAAGACTTCGAGAGAAAATGTCAACAAATGTCCGGCAAACTTCGCGCAGGCTGACCCCAAAAAAAAATTTTAACTATAAATTAAGGAGGGAGAAACTCCAATCTCCTGTTCACACTAAATTTAAGGTGTCCCCCTCAAATTTTATTGCATATTGCTTTAATGGTGCTATCATTTACTAACGCTTCAAAGTGGGACTTTTATAAGCGAGGAGGATCCAAAGGATACGAATGAAAATGTACTTAACTTGCAATACGATGTAAATATGTCCAAAGATTCCACCCACCGAATTTTGGATCTTTTCAGCCGCCAGTTCGCTATCATTTCTTAATGCACTCTATTAATCTCCATATATATAAATACTCCCATTGTTAAAAAATTTCATTAACTAATCATATAATAAAAATTAAGATATACTTTTCAATTTCATTTGCTTTACAAAAAAAATTTCAATGTACACATAAATATTTTAGATGTATGCAGAATACACTTCAATTCACTTTAATACACAAATTTTTAGCGGCCTTGTTTCAAAGCTGTCGAGATGGAAGATAGACGTTTTTCTATTGTCAACGAATCAATTCCATGGTCGCAAGACACATTCATTAAAGTATAAACAGAACCAAATCTCTGAGCAAATTTGGTCGGACGGAGCGATTCCGTCTGATGGTATACGGCGCAACATTTCGCCTAGTAAAACATAACCGAAACGGCATTCGCATCAGCTGACTGACAAATAAAAATATATAAAAGTACTAAAGCGAACATATGAATCCCCAAATTTACCCATTCTGCTTCTTTCCTTAATTACTGCTAGACAAAAGAAGAAACAAAGCTATTTGCTTGACTTTTTGAGGATGTAACGGCATCTCAATAATGACTTTTGGATTATCATTACTCCAAATGCAACGATTTTGTTTTATTAACGTACCCATTCAACCAAAAGTGAGCTTCATCGCTGAACTAAATTTTCTTTTGAAAATTGGGATCGGTGGCCATCGCGTTTTGGGCCCCCATTCAGCGAATGTGCGACGCGTTTGATGGTCGTTCGGCTTCAATTCTTGCACGAGTTGAATTTTGTAAGCCCGCAAACAAAGATCCTTCCGCAAAATCTTCCATAAAATGGATGGGCACAGCTCCAATAGTTGCGCGCGATGGCGGATGGACTAATTCGGGTCTTCTTCAATACTCTGCTCCAGAGCAGCAATAGCGTCTTCGGTCCGCACTGTACGGCATCTCTGTGGATGCGCATTATCCACTAGAGCAAACGTGGTGCGAAACCGATCCATGGTTGCTGGAATTTTGGACTCTGCTGGCCAGAAATAGCTTGCAGTAGCACATAGCTTGGTTTTCTCCCTGATATGAGACCTATCTGTTCAAAATTAGTGCATATTTATTCAAAAGTACTCGCACTCGTTCTTTTCCCGGTGAAACTGTCTTGAGGGTGTCACCTAACTTTCTGGTGGGACCCCGAATTTTCTCAAGATATTTGCGGCCATTCTTTATTGGGCAGCATTTCCAGCTCTTCACCGATCGCGTATAGCTCGCGTTGAGTTCTTCAAAGGCGTGGCCTTTTTCTTCCTAGTGCTTAATCTGCGGCGGTATGTAATGAGCAGGAAATGTGATTCCACTGCGTCTTTTATTGTTATAATGGCATTTGGATAAATGTTGGTGAAGTGATAAAGCGCAAACAGTCAACGGCGTAGCGTAGACGTAGGTTGACGCAGACACGATCTATCTTATGGGATTCGCGTGTTAACGAAAACTCACCACCCTATGGCGGTGACGTTGCCGTTACTTCTCTCTCTCTCTTTCTATCAACAGTAAATTTGATATGCTGATACGGACGTCAACCTACGATTACGCTACGTCGTCGACTAGCTGAGCTTTTAGTCCTGGGACATCCTTGATTCTCACATATGTACATATGTATGTTGGGTTCTCGAAGAGTATTCCCATAGAGCAGAGGTGTGAGAATCGAGTTGCGAATATGCTTTCTTTAAGCACTACATAATCAATTTAGTTTCTCGTATTGATGATGAAGGCTAAATGATTCCCTATTTAATCACCCTGGCATAAAAATTGCTGAGTACGATTTTCATTTCTTGACGGTGGCAGCAAAATAGAGATATCTGGACGTATCGTCCTTATCTTTCGTCGGAGTGTAGGAACAAATAAACAATAGGTTGAAGATTCCCGCTATGATGCGGATTGTGACGATAAACTTGTACACCGCAGGGAATGGCAGTGCTCACCGACGGTGTCTCTCTTTCACCGCAAATGCTGCTGTAAAAATTTCCTACTTCAAATAAATATTCACATTTCTTCAATATCCTCACTTATTTCCTTTCAGGTACTCGGTGTTTCCGAACGTGAATTCATGGACCAAATGGGTGTTTATTTTGTCGGCTTTGTTGGTCAATATGGTTACGATCGCGTTCTCTCCGTACTTGGTCGACATATGCGCGACTTTCTCAATGGACTCGATAACCTGCATGAATACTTAAAGTTCTCCTACCCCCGCATGCGTGCGCCATCATTCATTTGTGAAAATGAGACACGACAAGGACTCACATTACACTATCGTTCGAAGCGGCGCGGTTTCGTCTACTACACAATGGGCCAAATACGTGAAGTGGCACGACATTTCTACCACAAGGAAATGCACATCGAATTGGTGCGCGAGGAGATTCTCTTCGATACGGTGCATGTGACATTTCAGCTGACATTCGATAATCGTGCATTTACACTGGCTTCGTTGGCGATGACGCGCGAAGAGAAACACTTGCCCATCAGTGCACATGTACTCTTTGAAATATTTCCATTTTGCATCGTATTTGGGTAAGTATACGCCACGGTGAGCGGTGCTGGCGGATGGGTTGCGTGCTGGCCTGTTGTACCTAAATACCAAATGCCTGTCATTTGAGTATACATACGTATGTATATTTATTTATGTACATGTGTATATGGCAACAGCGCTTGTGGTTGATTTTAATTATGTGGCGCAGCAGTGCATTGCAGCGGTGGCAACTTAACTGGCGCATTCGCATTGGCTGCAGCTGTTGCCTGGCCACACAACTTGTTACTTCGCAGCGCCTGCAATGCATTTCAGCGCTAATTTTGTGGCTGTTTTTTTTTTGTTCTTCTTTTTATTGCGTCATCTTATTGGTTGCTGGTGCTATGGCTGCTGCTGCAAATTTATCGCCGCTATGCAGTGCCGATATGGTGGTACGTAGCATTGGTAATTCCCTGATGGTCATTCTGCCCGACCTACTTGGCCAGAAGATTACCGCCTGGTTCGATCTGGTGCGTCCATTAATTGCCTTCAAATTCCAAACCGTAAGTAGAGGTCATGCTAATGAGTAATTTTTAAATTTACTAACGGTGTGTGGCAGCTGAATGCGGTTTGAATTAACTTCGGTGGCTTTGTTATTGCCGAGAAACGCTGGTGAGTTGAGATTTTTTGTCGAAAGGTTGCATTCAACTGCCATGCGTAGGTGTATGTAGGTTTTAATAATTAGGTTAGTGAGATTTTACGTAATTTTCTATTTTTGTACATTTAATTAGATTTTAAACAGAACGAATAATATTTTCGAATTAGTCACAGTGGAGCCTGTGACCGACCGCGTTGCACTTCAGCCCTCCACTGAACTTTTGCTGCACGATGATGGATCTGAACCCGAAAAGACGTTGCGCTTAAAAGGTAATAAAAAATGGCGTGAGTACAAATTAAACATCTGTTTAAGCATTACATTAATTTCATTTCATTTTTTCGGAATCAGTACATGACTTTTTCATAACTTCACTTCAAGAATAGTTCAGGACTAAATATTGTACTGAAGTAGTCCTTAAATGGCTCTGAAAAGGTCTTTAACTTGTCCCGAAGAGATCTCGAACAAGTTTTGAAACGGTTCCAAAATATTCCCAAATTAGCCCCAAAATACTCCTGAGCTGGACCCGAAATGTTCCTGAAATAGTCGCTAACTAGCCTTAAATGGTGCTAAAATAGTCCTGCACCAGTTCAGAAATGGGCCTTAACTAGTCGAAAAATGAACCCCAACTAGTCGAAATAGTGATGAACTAGTCTCGAGTGATCTAGAACTGGGACTGAAAGGGTCCTGAAATTGTCCTGAGAAGGCCCCGAAACGTTCAACGAAACAGTCGAGAACCCAACATAATAGTTTTTATTTACAAAAGTCATTAATAAAAATCTGTCAGTGATTTTTACTTTTAAAAGTCAGCAATATAAATCAATCACCGACTTTTATTTTTTAAGTCATACGGTCTTCTACTAAAAATAAACGTTGGGTTGTAACTCTTATCGACGAAATAAAAAATATTTCTCATCTAATAACTGTTATGGAGCAACGTTTTTGCTATAAAACTTATAAATGTTATGTCCCTGATTTTTACACCATTGGCGCTCGGTGCTACTTTTATGGCATTCCAGCCCAACCATATTTATTTAGTATATTTTAAAAGTTTGGAGATACTCAATCAAAAATTACTTCGAATTAAGTTTAAAAATATTACATACATTTTCCGAAGAAGAAACATTTTTTTTTTTTTTATTCAGGTCAAATGGTTTACATGGAAAATTGGCGTATGATCATGTTCCTGGGCACGCCGGTTATGCCTGATCTCAATTCACTCATTACAACCGGGTTGTATATCAATGATTTGTCAATGCATGACTTTAGCAGGTAAATAAATATAACAAGCGATCTTTACATGTCATATAGAGATATCGAATTTAACACCTGTTAAATGCTACTACTCTTCAGAGATCTCATGTTGGCCGGTACACAGCAATCCGTCGAACTCAAATTAGCGCTCGATCAAGAACAACAAAAGTCGAAGAAGCTAGAAGAGTCTATGCGTAAGCTGGACGAAGAAATGAGACGTACAGATGAGTTGCTCTATCAGATGATACCGAAGCAAGTGGCTGATCGGCTGAGACGTGGCGAAAATCCGATTGATACATGTGAGGTAAATGATTTGGAGATACGTATTAATATTAATCCTACTAACAGGCCTATGCTGCCTGTTTATTTTGAAAAATTCTCTAAGATGGTTGCCACCTGTTCAAAAATTTTAAATGAGTTTAAATAACAGGTTAAGTGAAATATTTTAATATGGATATAAAACAAGAGAGGTTTAAGAAATCTTCATTTCAAAAATATTTTTAAAGGGGTTGCCACCTGTTTGAAAATCTAAAATCAATTTACGTAACAAGTTAAATAAAATATTTTAATATGGGTATCGAACGAGAGAAATTTAAGGAAAGCTGGATCTATTTCTGAAATATTTATTACGGGGGTTGCCACCAGTTCAGAATTTCAAAATCAATTTCGTTTACCAGTTATATGAAATATTTTTGTACAGGTGTCTGAGGAGAGAGCTTAATTCCTAAATATTTTGAATAGGGCTGCCACCTGTTCGAAGAATTATAATGAATTTAAATATCAAGCTAAACAAAATATTTTAATAAGGGTATCAAACAATAGAAGTTTAGGAAATTTTGTATTCCAAAATATTTTTAAAGGAGGCTGCCACCTGTTTAGAAATCCAAAATTAATTAAAGGCACAAGTTAACTAAAATATTTTAATATGGGTATTCAATGAGAGAGGTTCAAGGAAAGCTGTTTCGAATATATTTTTTCGGGCTTAGACATATCAAATCAATTTAATTGAAAGTTAGATGAAATTCTACTAACGTTATAAACGTGTGCTACTCTTTCTTCGTTTAAAATTTGGCAAAAAAATTGCTTATGACCTGGATTAGCATATAGCATATTTTTCTAAAAGGATTACCACCTGCTTAAAATGCTAAATTATAAGTTCAGCGATACTTTACAATAAGGATGCCAGAAGAACGAGATTAAAAACAACACTTTATTACGAAACTATTTTAAAGGGGATTGCCACCTATTTATATAGTTCAATACAATTTTATTAATCAGTTAAATGAATTATTGCAATACGGGTTGCCAACGAATATGGTTCAGAAATGCCTGATTTTAAAGAGCGTTGCCACCTGTCAGATTCGTTTTTTTTTTTTAAGTATTTATTACAAGATGGATATCAATCGCAATAGGTCTAATAAAGTTTTCTTTCGAAAATATTTTTGAATAATTAAGCTCTGCCTAACTTCTTTCAATCCCTCTCCTTCGTTTTTTTTTCAGATGTTCGACTGCGTGTCCATACTTTTTGCTGATGTGGTCACATTTACCGAAATCTGCAGTCGCATCACACCCATGGAGGTGGTGTCCATGCTAAATGCAATGTACTCCATATTCGACACACTCACCGAAAGAAATAATGTATATAAAGTTGAAACAATTGGCGATGCCTACATGGTTGTGTCAGGTGCGCCAGAAAAGTCTGCAAATCATGCGGATAAAGTTTGTGATATGGCCTTGGATATGGTTGATGCCATAACGGATCTAAAAGATCCCTCGACAGGCCAACATTTGCGCATACGTGTTGGCGTGCATTCCGGCGCAGTTGTTGCTGGTATTGTGGGTTTGAAAATGCCACGATATTGTCTCTTTGGAGATTCGGTTAATACGGCGTCACGCATGGAATCCACGGGCGCCGCCATGAAGGTTCACGTTTCCGAACCAGCCAAGCAATTTCTAAGTCCTTGCTACAAAATGACTGAGCGTGGTGAGATCGATGTGAAGGGTAAGGGTCCCATGAAAACCTATTGGCTGGAGGAACGTGAAAATCGCAAATCATTACAGTTGCCGCCCGAACTATTTCACCCGATTTCGACGTTCACTGCGCCGACTGCTACCGCTACAACTAGCTCTATTCCATCTACAGCGCCATCTACATCCGATCGTCGCTTGAGTGTGTCACAGACGCTGAAGGCGATTATGCCAGCGGCTGCTCAACCGGTTATAGGTTCCGTCGAACGTATGCAATTGGCCAATGCCACAAGCGCTATGATAAACTCAATGGATCCGGGGACGAGTATATCAACAACGCCACAGACTAGTGCCAGCAAGGAACGTGGACGTATATACTCGCCGGTAACTTTCACAGATGTTGCACGTCGCAGCATAGCCAATTCACCGGTGCGCAATGCTTTTAACAATAATGAGCGTGGTCGTGAATCGCGTTCAAACTCGATGGGGCACGTTTTCATGCGTTCGCCTAGCGACATTTTCGGTTCCCTCGTTTTAGATACAGAAGAATTTTTGGAAGACTTACAATACTCACGAAGTTCATTGGTTAATAGTGCCACCAGCTCAGCGCTTTGCCCCTACAGCCCTGCGCCTACCTTCCGCATTGGCAGCGCACCGTCAAAGCCACGTCCAAATGATCCCGATCAATTTACTCCCGAAGAGCTGGCAGCAATGGAACAGATTACACCACCATCGACAGCGCCACCTCGTGAAACTCTCACCTGCAAAGTGGCACCATCGACATCGTCAGCATCAGCGTCGCTGGAGAAATCCAAAGCCAGGTAGGTGTCGGCGCATTGCGAGCATGTCAAGCGTACTTGAGAGAGAGAAATTAGTTACAAGCTACTCTATTTCGGGAATTCTACGGATTTTCAAAGCGAATTTTATGCGGAGATCGTCACGAGTTTATCGTAGAGGTATTAGAAATGAAATATGATTTTAATTGTGGCTAACATCATCGGCGTTAAAAAGAACTGCAGTTCTTCCTAATTCCACAAAAAAAAAATTCAAAAACACACTCTCTATATCTTCCTCTATATACCGGTCTTGGCATGTTAGTTAATCATATAAAAACTTTACTCTATAACTGTTCATCAATATACATATATTAAAATGAAAAGTAACACATTTTTTAGCCGTTTAAGTCCACATAAATATTTGTAAAAACTCTTCTTTCTTCATCACCCTTTCTCTTCCACTTCTGAATAATTTCTCTTTCTAATTAGAAAAATCACCTTCTCACGTAGCCTAACCGTGCCGCAAGAGCCAGTTGTCACACCACCAACCGCGCAACCAGAGACGGCACAGTCAACCAGCGCTCCGGAAGCCGCTGCAGCCTCCACCCCAGTGCCACCTATACCGAAGGGTACGGCAGTTGCGATTCCCACTACATCCGTTACGAAACCTATACCAGCAAGTAAGAATATATCATTCGACAGCAGTCGTACGTCATCACATGAATCGTTATCGCCCTGTTCGCCACCGATTCGCTCCAATTCCGCACCTCTACCAATGTCCAAGTCAGCACGTAAAGCATTCCTCGCTGCAAAACAAACAAAAGCGATAGAAAAGTTGGATAGAATGATTGAAGAAGCGAGCGAAGTTGATGTGCAAAACAAGCGTGCAAATATGCGACGGATGGCTGCCTTTCGGGATGAAGGTGGTGGCGATGAGGGCGGTGGTGGTTGTCCGCTCTTTTTGCCACCACCACCACCACCAGGTCCACAAATGACAAACTCCTTATCAGATTCGGGCATAGCACATCATGGGTGAGTAATCCGAAAATGATGCTTACCTGAAATAAGTAAATGGATAATTTATTTTCTCAATCTTTTTTACAGTCACAATCACAGCTATTCGTCTGTGCACTACGCTACTTGTCATCATGGTCACCAACCTAAAATGGCCAACAGTCATAGTTTCAGTCACGCGCGTACATCGGGTCATCAGTGTTGTGCAGGCTATAATCACTCTAATGGGCGACATAGAGTGCATTCCAATGCATGTCAATTGCTGTAAGGGCGACGGCCAGCTATACGAATTGTGCTCGTGAAGGTGCCACACAGGTGTACTCTGGTATATTAGTGGCGGAAAAACTAACATAAGAAACAAAACCATGAATAGTACCAAAGAAAATAAATATTTATTTAAATTAAATTTAATATTAAAGTAGAGCCCTATGAACAATGGAATATCATATGCTGGTACATATGTATGTATGTAGTGTGTACACAATTACTTAGTTATAAGAGACTACAAATTATAGTCTTTAATTTAGGCCTAACAAAATGATTTTCACTTATTTTTCAATTTCCTTTTTTGTAATAAATTTTTTAGTTTCCTTAAATGTGCACCAATCGTACATCTATAGGGCAATTCTGGCTAAGAAAGTTGCAAGTCTATTGTAAGACTATTGAAAGACAGTAAGCAAGATAGTACGAAAGATTTTGTTTATTATGGCACGAAAGCTCCCTTGCAAACTTGTCTGGTGAAAAGCTCTTTTGACAGAAAGCACTTGAGTCGCAATGGCCGAGTGAGCAAAGTACTTGCGTGCAATTCGAGGTTCGAATCCTCGAGTAGAGGAATTTGTTTCTTGCTTTAATTGCAATTTTTTAATATTAGATTTTATTGTTTAAAAGCTACAGTACATTAGTTGCGTTCCATATGATTCACGATTTGCAGGTTTTTACAGGAAGTCGTTCCAGGTGACCACCTTCCATAAGGTTTATTAATGGAGAAAACAGCTGTTCCTGCAAATTGTGAATTTCGTGAATATCGTGAAGCCTCTGGAACGCAACTATTTTTTGAAATACATTTAATTTTTGGAAAATTATTCTGTAACAGTAAACTAACTTCTCAAAAATTAAAAGAAAACCTAATTCAATAATTATTAGTTCAATAAACGGTAAAAAAACATAAACATAATATAAAATTACATAATCTAAAAATTGCATCAAAATTAAATTTAAAAAACTCAAACTATGCGTTTTAAATTAAATAAGAATTAAATAAAATTAAAAGGAAAAAAATGATTAATTTTTAGAAACTTATTTTTTTCTTTTTGAACTGAATTTTCTTAAAATTTTTAGATTTTATTGTTTTAATTGTAATTGTTTAGAATATTTTCTAATATTAGGGTGCTATTTTATTATTTTTTTAAATATTTTTTTATTTTGTTTATATTTTTTTTTAATAATATTTTTGTCATCTCACTTAATTTTAGAACCTACTTATCTTTATTTTTTAATTATTAAAATTGTTTATTTTTTAATTCAAATTTCTTTTAATTTTTAGTTTTTCTTTAATTTTATCTTTAGAATACTTATCGCCAAAAGGCAAACATAATATGGCTAAGATCCCCCCGTTTCCAGATCCTTCAAAATAAAATAAGTTTCTTAAAGTTAATTTAAAAGAAAATTTAATTAAAAAGAAACAAAATAAATTAAAGTAATAAAAAATTTTAGTTTTAAGACCCTTTTTTTCTTTTTTTAAATTAATTTTCTAAAAATTCTTAGATTTATTGTTCAAAAGGAAGTTTTTTTTTAATTATTAAAAAGCTATTTTCTACTATTAAATTTTTTTTTATTTAATTTAAAAGAAAAAATATTTTTTTATAATTTCATTTAATTTTAGAAACTACTTTTTTATTTATTATAATTTTCTTATTTGATTTTTTTTCCATTGTTAGTTTTTATTTACTTTAATTTATTTCATCGCTAAAGGGAAAACAGAATAACGCTAAGACCTCCTCGCTAACAGATCTGTCATTTAGTTTTTCGAAATACTGAGAAGAACTTTAAAAATAGTTGCCAGAATTTACAAGTGTCTTTCGAGAGACCTTTGTCCCTCGAAAAATTGTGGTGAGTTGAAAGAAAGTTACCAAAATTTCCCTGTTAAGCTCTTCTTACCAGACCAAAATTTCCTCAATCTCCTTGTACTTCCCGACCTGTGACCTGTGTTCCAAAGCGCTTGAACTCTTATTGTGCTGCCAGAAAACACTTTATCTTGTTTTAGTTCTCCGCTATACCAACCTTCTTTTCCATACTGAAACACTGTGCTGGGTTTCCCTGGGTTTCGAGCCACCGATTTCAATATCATCTACACACCCCAAAGGTACCTTGCTTTTGCTCTATATAGTGCCGCTGCGATTCAAATTGGCAGCTTTTATTACGCCTGCTAGCTTGAGATTGAAAAATTCGCAGGAGTGTGAATCGCCTTGTTTTAAATCTGGTTTACTCTCAAACGGCGCGGAGAGGGACCTTTCCAAATGTGAACGAAGCTAAAGGCTGTACTCAACATCCCTCTACATAGCCGTATGAGTTTTGAGGGAATGCCAAATTTAGATGTGGCATCGTATAGGCAGCTTCTTTCCGTACTATCAAACGCGTCCATCCACACTAATGGTTCAAGTTTGCAGTGGCCAATGAGGAGCTGAGACCACCGCTGTTCTACCTAAGCCGGCCGCTATCTCATACCTCTGCATTCCCTGGTGACCTTGTACCTTGAGTAGGTGAATGTTATGGAGTTCAGCAAGGGCGTTGAGGTTCGCAATCGCCCAAATGCTAAGGATGGCATCGAATGATGATAGTGTCTTAAGTGCTCCCTGGCAGTCGGAAGTGTTAGGATTCTGCCATTATCATACTCTCTACGTAACTTCATTTCTGCACTCCGATTGGTGACGTATACTACCACTTGGAAAATACTCCGGGACCTGCCTGTCCCTATGCAGTGTTTAGGAGCCGTCAAAGTAACGCTGTAGATGCCATTGTCCGAGAAGATTTTTAACAGTCCGTCAACTACCACGGTCCAAAGAAAGGGTGACATTACCCGTAACCTCCTCTTGCGGGCATCCTTTTATTGTTTGCAACCGTACCACATTACACGCAGTTTCAGTTTCAGAGATTCTCTTTTGGGGCAGTTTGGCAATACATCTACGGATAGTTGATTGCACCATCCATTTCTCGAGTGCCCGAAAAACCCCCCATAATATGGCTCCTTTAATATCGAGGAAGGCACATAGCACAGTTTTGTCCACACTCAAAGGGACCCTCTATCTTCGTACTCAGCACGTACAAAGCAGTGCCCGTGGATCTTCCCCGCTTATATGCAAGCTGGATGCAGATGGGCCAGTTTCATACCATTAGATTTAATTTCGTTATCGATAACCTTTCGCATTGCTTTTATTAAAAAGGAGATTAGGTTTATAGGGATTTATATCAATCGAACGTGTCAAGCGTCCATCGCGAAGAATGATGATGAAGAAGGTCTGTACTCTCGAGACTCAATCATCTGTGTAACGGGAGTGACATCCGGAAAGTGGGCAGAACGCAAGGCAAGGGCTCTTTCTTCTTCATTAAATGTATATGTGCGAAATGACACTGTATGAATCATACAACGCTTAGATTCGAATTGTTCTTATTTAATGCCAAGTGGAGATACAGCATAAAAGTTTTTGCAAAAAAAAATATAATACATACGTATAATAAATCAGATATTATACATAGATATTTATGAAAAGAAAAGCAAATATACACATACATACATAGAGATGTGTACGTAGAGTTGAAAAATGTTAGTACTAAATGTTAGAATACATAAAACAAAACAATAAACACGTGCAACTGTATACTAAAGATAATACCTCTTCAAACGACAATACGAATATGGGCTAGTCAAATTTTAAATAGCAGAAGTAGTAGTGAAGAGAAAAGCAGGAGGTAAAAAATATACATAAATAAGTATGTACTTTAGGGTGCCTCACCAACAAAAATCGCGATTTTATACCGGGATTATAAAATTTATTTTATGTATCTAAAGATTTCAACCAAATATTACGGAAAAATATTAAGATTTAAGTGAGCTGGACCGATTTGAAAATGCCTTCAAAAATCTCATAATTTTTATTTCGTTGATAAAACAAAAATAAAAAATTAATATTAATATAAGGTTCACGTATTTATTAATACGCTTCTGAAATATTTTGGCAAAAGTCTTAGAATATAATAAATTTTTTGTTTCTGATGGAAAAAATACCAATTTTTTTTTTATATATATATTTTTTTTTGTATCTGTGAGTGATGCACCCTAATGTACATGTATTGTAGTAAATTATCATTAAAATAAAAAAAAAATAAAAATTTAAATTTATTAGAAAAATTTAAACATTTTGAATTTTGTACACCATTGAAATTCTAAATGTTAAAATCAATGTCAATGTAAAGGTACCACCTGAATGAAATGAAAATAGTGAAAGCATATCCTGTAATTATAAAAGAAATGTACAAAAAAAAGGAAATTACCAAAGCAAAGATATTTTTCTAGGAAAGCCAACGAAAAGCTAGGGATAAAAGAATTGAATAAGACTAATAAGGAAATTTTAAATCTAGTTGTATGTATGTAGTATTTTCTTGAAATCTACAAATGTAAAACACTGAAAACACTTGTAAGTTGTATGTATGTATGTACATAATTGTGTGTTTAAATGTGAGTATTTACGTACTAACTATATAGTGAAGCTATTTATCAGTTATTTAAATCAAAATATATTATTGTTAATGTTTCGAATTATTTAAAAACAAAAATTAGAAGTATTAGGTACAGTGGTAAAAAGTACTTTTAAAAAAGTAGCTAAGCAGCTAATCAAAAAGTCACTAAGACCCGTCTGTATGTAGCATGTACACACAAAAAAGAGTTATTATAAAGCATTAATTCAAAAATGTTTTCGCTACTAAAGTCGCTGTTGTGCTTTGTTATATTTAGGCTGCTTTGTAAGTGAAACAAAATTTTAAAGATTAAAATATTTTGAAAAATTAAAAAAAAAATCTATTTCATATTATTTTAATTAGGAAACGCTTTGGGTTCTTTTGGCACACTAATGTTGTTGTAGAGGACGACACAACGGGATCAAGGCCGACTTGACCCATATTCAACGACTAACGGTTTTACTTAATTTCCTTTCAAAGAGGTGGTTAGAATACCAATCAAGAAAAAAAAACGCTTGATACAATTAGTCTGTTCCAATAGCAGTCCGGTTTACAGGATTTAGTCAGAACTTACAGGAAGTCGTTCCTATTGACATAAAACCTGTAAGTGGGAACACATTTGTAATCATGTAAATCAGCTGATCGTTTGACACTTTTCATGAACTTACAGGAAAAAAAACTCCGGACTAAATCATGTAACTTCTGACTAGGAACAGTTGCTCAGTTACTCTCTCAAATGTGTTCCCACTTACAGGTTTTATGTCAATAGGAACGACTTCCTGTAAGTTCTGACTAAATCCTGTAAACCGGACTGCTATTGGAACAGACTAAATATGAGCTGGACCGCTGGCCGAGAATCACGTATGTAAAAAAAACTTGGCAGCTTTTGATGCATGGGCTCGAGATGAACAGAGTAAACGTGTTAGATGACGGGGTATTGAAAGATTGAATTGCACTATGGCCAAGAAAGAAACTTTTAAGCGGGCGGCTTTCCAAAATATATACAATGTCGGGGAGAGTACGTCCTCATGAGTGACATCTGTTTAATACCATGCGGCTTCGACTTAACGTTACGAAATTCGCCTGATGATTGGCGTCTGCGCAGATAGCTGGTTATCCACCGTTCCGTACGACCAAAGAGCGAGGGTCGCGTGGGTCTTCTTGTGCGTTGGCATAAACGGGTAACGCGTCACGAGCTGCGACTGCATCAGCACTGCAGATTCGGCTTTTTCTATTTAGGTTTAGCTGCAAAAAAAAAATTTATATGTATCTTCTAGCGTTTTTTCACTCTCGTCCTCGAATAGCCTTGCGGCCAACCAATCAGAGTATTGGAAAGATTTAAGAAGTCTGAGTTTAGCTCAGCTTTTATCCGCTGTAGCGATGCTCATCTTCGTTTATGAATGTTACCAAAACGCTATCCTACCTCGATTAATCACATTTTCTCGTCACCTCCCTCCCCCTTCCACACTATCTTTCCTTTTTAGACCCTCTCTTTTCTCTTCCCATTCTCTATATCTCTCAATCTCTCCCTCCATCTTACACTCTCCATTATATCCTTCTCATTATTCTTCCCTCTCTCGCTCTCCCTTCGTCTCTTCCATCTTACGCACACTTTCTTTTTCTCGCTCCTCTCACACTGTCTCCCTTTTTCTCTCTGCCTTTTTCTTTCTATATTTTTTCTCCCTTTCTATATTCTTTCTCTCTTTCTCACTCCTTTTATTACTTTCTGTCTCTCTTTCTCACTCGTTTTATTACTTTCTCTCTCTCTCTCTTTTTTCTCTTTCTCTCTCTCTTTCCCTCTTTCCTTTTGTCTTTCCTTTTCTGTTTCTCTCTCTTTCCGTTTGTCTTTTCTGCTCACTTTCTCTCTCTTTCCTTCTCTCGTTCTCTTTCTCCCTCTCTCTCTACAACATTTACGACCATGATTCAATAATACAAGGTTAGATAATTATTGACAGCTGCGGTTTGACACTCCCTTACAAAAGGTTGCATTTACGAAGGACAGAGAAAGGGCAAGAATGCAATCCCTTGTTTCGAAAATGGTAGTAGAAAAGTACGCAAAGTAGGCAATTAGTAGTGAAATTCCTTTCGTAAATTCTAATGTATTTGCAGGAAATCTGGCATTTTAAACGAAATGTTGAACGTAATATTGATATATCTACGTGAATTACGTAATTTATATGCTATTTAGCCGTATAAAAACTGCAAAATGACTCAGAATTAAAATAAGACTACTATGAGACTGATGTAAACATCCAATGCTTATGTTTTCATCAGTTAAATATGCTTCATATGCATATACAAATAAACATATAGCACAAAAGCTTATACTTTTATTTCACACCAAAGCTACACTGTTTCCATGTAAATTTGCAAAGAAGCAACACGGTTCCACTGCTAAGGGAGCGGTGCGAGAGAGACAACTGTCAGTTTATCGAACCTTGTATTATTGAATCATGATTTACGACAGTGTTTAATGAAGAACAATAAGAGCATTTTTTTATTTTATGAACTATTTTCTGCAGTAAACTCTGTAAATGCATACATATGTATATTATAATATATTGATTTTTGTATATTTACAATTTTGGAATTATTAAAAAAAGTTCAACGAAAAAACTTTGCAAAAATATTTTTTCTCTAAAAGCAGCAATTTGTCCGCCTTATGCATAAGCAGAAAAGCAAGTTTTTTATTTTTTAATTTGTTTATTATTTTCTATTAAAATTTTGAATTTTGCTAATTGGCTTGCAATGATTATAAAATATAAAAATGTCTTTAAAATTGCTTATATAAATTGCTCTTGAACGTGCTATTAAAGTGCAGTAAAACAAATTGAAACTGCTTTAATTGCATTCGCGAAGCGTGCTTGCGTCTTTGTGTGGCAAGTGTAAGTGTGTTTGTTCGAACAATAAGGCGTATCACAATAATATTTAAAGCTAAAACAAATGCATCTCTTTTTTCATTTTTGTAAAATTTGTAACTTTGGTAAACATTTTCAAGGATATAATTTTAGGCAGTTTAGTTGTATGTTTGTAGTAATACAGTTAAAGATGTCACAATGGTTTGACTAGAATCAAGGTGGGTTACAGTTGTTTGATGTATGTATGTGTGTGTGTGTGTAGTAGTAGTAGTTGGCGCACAAACTAACTAAATCTCATAGAATGTGGGCGCTGATGTATATTCGTTGTTGTTATAAATGACTGTGCCTTCGTTGGTTTCGATAGTTTTGATAAGTGTCTTGCAGTAGAAGCACACTTTCGAGTTCAACAAATGTTGCATAATACAATTGCTACACGATTGATGTTTGCAGGGCGTGAAAATAACGGCAATTGGTTTAGCGCAACATATTGGACAGAGTGAGTCCTCGGAAGGCAGTGTAATGTCTGAAAGCAGTGATTGCTTTAAGCGTAGCATATCGATGAGGCGGCGTACCTCATCAATTTCCAGCGGAGTTACATGCGTGGGATCTAATGCAAAAGAAAAACGAAACCGCTTTACTTAGTTTTGTATAAGCAGTAAGAGAATGATTTACTCACAATCAGAGAGCGCAAATTTTATTATTGGTGGATCGGCGCGTATTCTCTTCGTTGATGTCGATGGCATTGGTACGCGTACATCATTTGTTAGTGGATCGATGTGTGCGCGAGTTTGCGGATCAAAATTACCACGCGGTATTTCAGCTTGTTGTAATATTGGGGTTTTTATTTCACCTAAAGCGAACTCCAAATTGGCAAACTGAAAGCTGGGATCGGTGAGAAGAGCACGTGTGAGGCGCGTCACCTGCAAAAGGGCATGCGAGGCTTGTAAAGGCCTACAAAAATGATATTTGCAGTGTTGACATTACCTTTTGTGGATTACGATCTGTGTCAAGTTCTGAGCGCAGCAATGCCAACAAAATACCTAGCGCTGCGGTAATGATGGGAAAGTGGGTAACAGAATTCAAATCAGACGAGCACATATCGACTATGAATTGAAAGCAACCTGGTGGCACTGTGACACGTGATAAAACTTGACTGATTAATTGGCACACACGATTCAATATCAAATCACTATTGGAGCGTGTAGGTTCCTGAAATATTTCCGGCGCAATTGTGATTATCATTTCTAAGCAACGCATTAATGAGACAGTCAGTTCGAAACACATTGAACAAATTTTTAGCTGTTTTGGCTCGAAAACGGCATTCTCTTGTCGGTGTGCAGTATTTTGTATCTGATGGATAACAATAAACATATAATTTAAATAAGTGAAACTACATTTGATACCTACCTCCTGCAAGAGCAGTATAAACTCCGAAAATGCCCAATTCAATTGACTCAGCACCGAATTGAGAAAAGCCGTCGCGAGTGGCTCATCTTCGGCCAACTTCTGTCCAATCAATTTCTGAAAATGTCTCGAAGCATTTGCAGGCGCAATGTGATGTAGTAGACCGGTATGCGTCTCATTTTTGGCACGACTACGACAAAGTCCTATTTGTACAGGCTGATTACCGCCTTGCCAGATGCTGGGCTGTCGGGAATCGCGATAGCCAAAGCCATCACCAAGCCAAAAACGCAAAAGCAACCAATTACTTTGACCCCAAGCGCGATTTTCATAGGGACGCAAGAGCGATTTAACCAACGCATTTTGGCTGTGAAGAGTGTGGGGAAGAAATTAGTAAAGCTAATGAAGAAATTGTGCATTCGCAGAACCTTTTCTTTGGTGACTGTTCCAGAGCACGAACACCAGTTTTATGACAGGTCAACGTGCCAAGAGCCTGCAGTAACGAATCCTTGCATGAAGCCAAGATGATGCGAGGATCAGCGGAATGTAAGCCTAGAAATTCAGCTGACGCATTGACAGCACATTCGGCATCTGAAAATTAAATATAAATTAACAGTATAATTTTTAAATATCCATTTAAACAGGGGTTTATAAAGTACCACTTAGTTCAAACTGTACATGCAGATCATGATGACTAAAATCCATAACTGTATCCAGTAAAATGGGTAGTATATTTATATACACTTCAGGTACAAAAGAGAACAATGGCCCCAATTGTGAGCACGCCTATAGAAGAGAAACAAGGAATTGTTAGAGGATATGCAATTCAAATATTAAGCAATGCACGGCGATTTTAGGAAAGCTTAAGGGTGAATGTATGTAATCAAAATACTCCTGCAAAGTCAAATATTCAACTTAAGACTATTTTTTTTTTACATCCAAAGTACGCAGAGTTCTTTCCAGAAACCACACAATGGTCATACGACGATGTTTCCCCAGCGCTACAGCGCGATACCACGCCTGCTTGCGCGCCAACTCAATAGAACGCTTCTGTAAAAGAATTAAGCAAATTATTTTTTATTTAAAACATTTAATATACACTTATGTATATTTACTGCAAAGACATTTTCGCGTTGACTAAATTTCTGTTTTAAATCCGTAACAATATTACAATGATTTTCATTCATACAAACGCTCGCATGTTCTTCCAACACCTTCAGCTTGCGTTCAACATCTTCGCGATAGAATTTGGTTTCGCGCAGAACTTCATTTAAGGCAGCTATTTCATCTCGTACTGATGAAATCTATTTAAGTCAATAAGTAAAGTGTGAAGTATATAAAGTAATATGAATTTAGCTTGGAAAGGGAAAAAATTCTCATAATGCCCAGCACCTTTACAGTGTACTTATGTCCCAGCGAATAATAGTAGAGCACACAAATATCAAATAACTCTGATAGCGAACTCTCTGCATCACAATTACCCGGCGAAGCTTCTGGCAATGGATTCAAACGTGGATTAAAGAAATGTGTAAAAGTTGCAGAGGGGCTGCAAGGGAGATCGATCGTGCTATATTACAAACAATAAGCATAGACAAAAAAGAATTCGACCCACCCTTGCGGACCAACAACCGCAATATTGTTAAGGTTTGTTGTTGTTAAAAACATGCTGGGATCAACTTGAACGAGATAAAAAAAAAATTTCAGATTCAATGCACCTGCATCCACCTACTTTTTGTTACCATCAACTCACCCAACTCTCCAACTCGCATCACGGTACGATCTTCTTGTAGCAACACTTGCGTACGCTCCGCACCCAAATATGTTGTTATATCGTTACGATGTACTTTTCGTAAATGAGACAACACACCGCCTACACGATCGAAATGTTGATATTCAAAAGTGCCATCAAAGAAGTAGTCCGGTTTGATTTCCGCTTGTGTTGCAGGCAATTCACGTTCGAACAGTGTTCGTGTGGCATCTATGAGCATGCAAATAAATGAGAGTGCCACTGTGGACTCGATCGGATGCATTATGCTAGATTGCATAAGGAAGAACGAATGGAAAGGCTGTAGGGCAAAATGAAGTATAATGCAATTTACAGGCAAAATAGAATGATGTTTTGTTTTTTTACTCTCTGCTCCATACTAAGATCCATAACGTAGCGGCGCAACTTGGATATAAATATTTTTCGACTCGACGGCGTCAATTCGTCTCCATCCGTATTAGTGAAAAGTAGTATTAACAGATTTTTCTGCACATTATAAAGACTTTCGGTTGCTTTCGTAATTCTATCCACTTGCGAAAGGTATTTCTGCTTTGGGCCGCCAATACCTGTAAGATAAAAAGTGGATTACTTTAATACTATCTATTTCTTTAACATCTGACCTTCCGTCCATGCAATGGAGTCGGGCACCAGCTGCTGCATGAACTTATATTCTGGTGGCCGTATATACATTAGCAAAGCCAAACTGGAAATCATTTATTAGCCATTTCACTTAAGAAGAAAAAGTTACGTATGTCTAAGAAATTTGTGTTACCAATGTTTTTTGAAGAACTTATATTCCAGATACGTTTTACGCGTTTGCATATGCCTACACAAGCAGGTGAATACGTTTATGGCACTTTTTTGCTTCTCGTAATCCAGACCAACATGTGTGTGAGTATAGGTCGACAGCAAAGCATTCGCAAGCTTACGCATTATAAATTTTACCTCCTCATTTTCTAAATAATTCCACAAAAGCGAGAGTAGAGCCCCTAAAGTGCTCTCAGGAGTGCCCGGGAATATATCTGGTTCCTTATCGGTTTCCCTTTCAGTAATTTTGGAATTAATACAACTCTTTCACATAAAAAAGTTGTAACTTACTTGACAATCGTACAAAAGTTAACAATATGCGGTAACAGTTTGTCCTCGATCACGTATGGGTCGAACAATACTTGTGCTAACTTCTCAATCAGCAGTGTGGCGAAGACAACATAAACTGTTTTCTTTGTTGATATTTTTCCCTCGATATGATCCTTTTTCTTACAAGTTGAATTGTGCGCCAACACAGTAGCCAAATTCGCAAGATAACTAAGTAACAGGTCGGCTTTTTGTAAACGTACAATGGGTTTGGCTTGAATTGGCAGAAATCCTTCAACAGGATATTTAAAGGGCATATTTCCAAAATTTACTTGGATACCCTGATTGTAACCAAGTGAAACGGCGGGAAAAAATGAAATTCCAGGCCCACGTTCCAATTTACTGAAAGCGACGCCCATCGAATTTCCATTGCGAAAATATTCAATACTTTCATTGTCAACATCTATGCTTATACCGATAATATCACCAATTTGCCATTTGTCGCCATACCTGAAATTTAAAAAAGAATTAGATTTAAGGATTTGTAAGTATTTTGTAAGGATAGGCTTCAGCTTTTTATTTACTTACTTCGATGTAGAAATGTGCCATATTTGTTGCTTGCTTCCATCATAACCATAGCTCCATTTTGTATCGCCTACTCCGCTGTTCTCATTAAAAGTGCATTTGTTAGAGCACCAACCAATTTGCATAACACCTTTGCTATGCAAAAGTACCTAATAAATAAATGTATACGTATGTACATACATATATAAAAATTATTATGTATATGTATTTACATATTATGCTGTTGTTTGAATAGTTAAATGTTAATAAATAATTTCTATGTACATTAGGCCGGGTCAGTACAAAAATGAAAGGGATTATACTAGCCAAGCCTAGTTGGAAAGCTTACATCGAGAATTGTTACCTTTCTCCATACATTTTTTTTTTTTGATGCGGCTTTAAAGCGTGATAGATCGTATTTTGTAATAAAATTTTTAGTTTTATAGGAACCAAAAATTTAATTTCTTTAGAGATAAATTTGCTGATCTAAAAAGGATACAAAGTACTCAAATAAATATTTTTCCACCTGTACATATATGTATATATTTACACGTCACACCTTAGCATTGGATTGCGAAAGTTCGAGTTAGTCTTTTAGGACGTTGCTTTAGATACATAAAATAAGCTTTCATTTATTGTGTGTGAAAATTGCAAAATATGTTTTCGACCCAGCCTAATGCACATAAGATCGCATCATTCGGAAATAGAACAGCTAAATGTCCTTCGGACGTTAACGCACTTGCCGGCATGGCAACACGTTTAACTCAAGGTCATTACTCTTCGAAACTGACCGATTACCCCTTACCACAACTGTTATATACCAATGTCATGCTTCATTGAACACCTCAAACCCCTTCAAATGTAAACTGATTGCTTACCTCATACATCCAACGCCCACCATAAACGCAAACATTGGCCTTTATGGTATTAAAACTACCCTGTGAACGCAGCGATAGCCTATCGGCCGATATTCGCACTGTCGATGTAAAATCAATATCACAAATGGTGTGCTCTGGACCAAGCCTAGAGGCCATATCGATGCGTTGCGTCTTCGTCGCTTCTGTACTATTTGATTCGATGACATTGAGCCGTTCGTTTAACCAATTCCGCACAATGACCATTTGGCTGTTAGTGAAATAACATTTATCAGTCCCACACAAGTATATAGTATGTATGTGTGTACATGCAATGAATTAGAAAATAATCATATCCCCATTCAAATTGCCTTGAAAGGAATTTGACCATCAACTGGCCCTGAAAATTTACAACTTGTGAAATAGCAGCTCCTTACTTACTCAGATAATTTCATTTCATCCACTTTTGGCTGCTTTGGCGTGTCTTGTGTGGCGGAGCACCCGGCTTCATCATCCTCATCCTCTGGCTTTTGTTTCTGTGTTGTACTAATCTGTTCGAAAATATCCACACCAAATACTTTTACAAATAATTTTGCTATTGACATAATTTTGGGTAAGTGCACTGTTAATGCATTGGTGTTTTAATTGTCTATTTGGCTTATTCCGGTCAATTTAATCGGAGTAACAATTTTTTCCAAAAGATTCAAGTAACGAATGTGAGTTTTGTTTACCTTCGAAAATTTGATTAATTGAATACGTCTCTTCTTCTAGTTTGCAGCAGTTCGCAATTGATTCGAATGTCAGTGGGTCAAAACACCAGGTATTCCATATTAAACTTAATTTTGTATTAAACAATTTATTTTGCTTTTACAATGCACTAGCAGACCCGGCGAACTTCGTCCATCCAAAATCAATTTTTTATTGAAACATTTGATCTAACGTTTTCACCAACAATCACGTTCTCGTTACGTTTTGTGGTCGTCAGAAGGCGTATCATTCATTGCCATCTTATACTAAGTTCACATATAAGTAGATTATCCTCATTTTCGAGCTTAACTTCCTAATCTGTAATTAGAAAAAGAGATTAGCCATATAAAATTCCCCCCTTGTTAATCTGTAATTATAAAATAATCTCAGATTTAACCGATAACTTTTCGGTGTCCATCCTAGTTTTATCGATTGTTTTTGCGAAGAAGAGGAGAAATGGCAAATGTAAAAGTAAACAGAAATGGACACTAGCAAGGAAAAGAAGGTTTTAAAGGTATTTTTTAATAAAATGTTAAGTTAAAATATATTTCTATTGCTTAATATAGCAGAAAAACGTGATCACGGTGGCACAGAGAAGAAACATAACTTTTCCTGGAGATGTGAAAATAACAAGCACAACAAATTTGACGGCTAATAATCTGAGATTTGCCTGTGTAAACGGGGTGATTAAAAAACGAGCTTTGATTGAGATAATATAGATATGTGAACATAGTTTTAAATAACCTAATGGAAGCGGTATGTCCGTGAAGAAGTTCTTGTTCAATTTTAAAATGGGGTAGTATCATTGGTCCACAGAAATGCAATATACAGAGGGGGCCAAATAAGACCTACCGATGTTAGACACGTATAACTTTTTTATTTTTCAATATTATTATTTTTTTTTTTCTTTTTGCATGGTATAGTTAATCTCTTGGAAAATCATACGCTATTCGTGTGAGACTTTGAAAGAAAAACACGATGTCAACGCTATGACAATTCAAGTTTTATTCTCGAGTATAAGAAACTTAAAGTACAGTGTAAGCACAGAAACAGAAAGATAAATGACAATGTCAAAGAAGATAATGAGTATGAATTAGGGTTGCATTTAGGAACGGTTAACAATTCGTTTAACACAACTAGCACAAATATCCACTAGGCATTGAAATGACAAAAAATATATGCCATTTAAAAAATGCCATGTAGAAATGGACATAATGATAATTTTTTTAACGTAATGACACGAACATTTTTTAATGCCCAACTTTGTCATTTGTCATTTTTGCCATTTAGGGCCAGTTTTTCAGTGCACGGCTGTAGTTTAACNGTCCACAGAAATGCAATATACAGAGGGGGCCAAATAAGACCTACCGATGTTAGACACGTATAACTTTTTTATTTTTCAATATTATTATTTTTTTTTTTCTTTTTGCATGGTATAGTTAATCTCTTGGAAAATCATACGCTATTCGTGTGAGACTTTGAAAGAAAAACACGATGTCAACGCTATGACAATTCAAGTTTTATTCTCGAGTATAAGAAACTTAAAGTACAGTGTAAGCACAGAAACAGAAAGATAAATGACAATGTCAAAGAAGATAATGAGTATGAATTAGGGTTGCATTTAGGAACGGTTAACAATTCGTTTAACACAACTAGCACAAATATCCACTAGGCATTGAAATGACAAAAAATATATGCCATTTAAAAAATGCCATGTAGAAATGGACATAATGATAATTTTTTTAACGTAATGACACGAACATTTTTTAATGCCCAACTTTGTCATTTGTCATTTTTGCCATTTAGGGCCAGTTTTTCAGTGCACGGCTGTAGTTTAACCTCAGTTTAAACGCCCGATATGGCTGGTTTAAACTAAGATCAGCCAATCAAATGTCAGCCAACTGTTCAATTTAAACTCAGTTTACTTAATCTAAGGCACTGAAAAACTGGCCCTTAATGCCTAGAGGAAACCCAGCATTACAATTGCATTTGTAGGCATTTAACAAGAATTGTCTTTACTCCGTTTAGTCGCCGTAAAGAAAGGAGCGCAATGGTACTGGTGTTTGATTTAACAGCGGGATTTTGTCTCTGAATGACTTCACGTGACGATTTCTACCTTGAATATATTTTGTTGCAATAGTATTGCCCCAACCGTTACATCGAATATGAGCCAAATCGGATAATAAATACGATTTTTAGTTTTATCTCGACTCCAGCGCCACCTGGCGTTTTAAGTTGTGAACCTTATTGTACTGGAACTTATAGGGAATTTACACGAGGCGATTTTTAGTTGAAAGCAACAATCGCCTAGTGTGAACTGCCTTTCAACTAATCGCTTTCAATGAAGTTGGTCGGCTGCCTACTTTCGTTCAACTTTTGGTTCAACTAATCGCCTGTGAAAGTTGAATCATATAAATTACCTATTACTGAAACACATACTAAAATTTCATTAAAATCGTTTCGGTCGTTTAAAAGGAGCTCACGCACAAACACAAGTACCGAATAATTATATATGTATTTACAGATACGTAAAAGTTGCAGTACGTTTGGAGGGCGCCACGCTCCCTTTTCTAATAACCCCCACTTGTCTCCATTAGTACCTATGGGATTGATTTCAAATATCTCCATACCAAGTTCCATGGCCCTACCACAAATACTTCCAGAGACATACGGAATGAAAAATTCGATTTGTATGGGAGATGCCACGCTTCCTTGACATGCCGAAATTGTTATCAGCCTATAACCATCCTTGGAAAGTCTGCAGTAGGTGTCCAAAAAATAGGATATAATTAGTAATGATAATAAGTATAGGTACCTTTCGAACTGTAAACCAAACATTCATTATCTTCTATGTATATCTATAATAAGTGTACCAAATTTTAAGCACATCGAACCATAACGAAGCTTTTTTCGAATGGATAGGTCCCTGGTTCCCATTCCGGAAAAAGTACACGTTTTCGGCCCCTGACATAGTGACTACTGAGAGCTATTCACAATCAAAATTTCACGAAAATCGGACCTGCCGTTCGCAAGATTACCAGGTACAAGAAAAATAACGGACTTCTCTTTATAAAGAGGATCGTATATGCTAATATAGAAAAAAAACTACCTATGTACCAGATTTCAAGCAAATCGGACCATATATGCGACTTTATCGAAAAGGCCTGATCAGACTCTGAGGTGACTCCACGCGTTGCAAGCATTGCACTTGACTGAGAGGGAGTTGTGGTGTAGTCGTCTCTGGCACACACAGCAGGCGTTAGTTTCTGACCCAGAGTTTGACGCAATGCCAGCCCTGATCAGAAGAGTACATAGCAGATGTAGCCATATGGACGAACAACGCTTGAGATATTTCACCGACCTCAACGAGGCTAGATCGCCGAAACACAACAACCTTTACTCGGGTAAAACCCGAGTCATTCCGGTGCGCAGAAGCGACTGTCGTGGGAATGAGTTGTGCCAGGCCTGCTTCTGGTCTATCTCCGCAGTTCTGCTTCTGCTATGCTTATGGGCGGAGGTCGACAACCTAGAACGATGTTGCCTTTACGAATGTTGAGGATCAGTCTAATTGCACCGCTGTGTAAGTGGTTGGTTGAGTGCTGTTCTGAAGCTCACTGTATGGAACGTATGGTCTATATAAGACTCGGTGTGGTTTGCTCATATATATGAATATATACAGCGAAAAATTCTTTCATATGCTGTCCCGCATGGATCAGTCTCGGGATCGGGATGTACGCTACCCGCCAAAATACATCTCTATGGGTAAAGTTTGACAGTTACGTTTTTCTTTCACCTGCCATCATGATTCAATAATACAAGGTTCGATAAACTGACAGTTGTCTCTCTCGCACCGCTCCCTTAGCAGTGGAACCGTGTTGCTTCTTTGCAAATTTACATGGAAACAGTGTAGCTTTGGTGTGAAATAAAAGTATAAGCTTTTGTGCTATATGTTTATTTGTATATGCATATGAAGCATATTTAACTGATGAAAACATAAGCATTGGATGTTTACATCAGTCTCATAGTAGTCTTATTTTAATTCTGAGTCATTTTGCAGTTTTTATACGGCTAAATAGCATATAAATTACGTAATTCACGTAGATATATCAATATTACGTTCAACATTTCGTTTAAAATGCCAGATTTCTTGCAAATACATTAGAATTTACGAAAGGAATTTCACTACTAATTGCCTACTTTGCGTACTTTTCTACTACCATTTTCGAAACAAGGGATTGCATTCTTGCCCTTTCTCTGTCCTTCGTAAATGCAACCTTTTGTAAGGGAGTGTCAAACCGCAGCTGTCAATAATTATCTAACCTTGTATTATTGAATCATGACCTGCCATAAGTTCACAATTATCAAAATTGACGACGTGTTTATTTTGTTGTTTTCTTCGACAATTGCAGCAGACAGTGGAAGTATTATTTCTAAATTTTCACAATTAATAGACTAATAGAGTAATAATCTGTGCAAAAATATAATTTCGAAATGAGTGCTGACTGGGATGAGATTAAACGTTTAGCTGCAGACTTCCAGAAGGCACAACTGACGTCGACTCTGCAACGGTAGGTGCATTGCAATTGCCAGCCTACCAAAAAACTAAACGATTTCTCCCAAACAAATTTACAGCCTTTCTGAGAGGAATTGTGTCGAAATTGTTACCTTATTGCTGGAAAAGAACCTACTCGAAGCCTTCTTTACCAACGATGGCAAGGAGTATATTACGCCGGAGCAACTAGAACGCGAAGTACAGGATGAACTGTATGTTAACGGCGGCCGTATAAATTTAGTGGAAGTCAGCAAGACACTGAATGTAGACTTATCGCGTGTAAGATAAATACACACTATACTTACATAAAGTGCATTTAAAGTTTTTCATATTCACAGATCGAAGAAATTGGTTCACGAATCGCTGAATCAGATACAGAAATATATTTCAAGTTGGGACAATTGATTAGTGAGCAGTACATCACTCGTATCGCCGAGGAAATAAACGAGCGACTGTCACAGAAAGGTGAAATAACAATCTCCGACCTAGCGCAACAATTTGATTTACCTTCGGACTTTCTACAGCATGATGTTGTCGAGAAGCATTTAGGCAAGATCATACGTGGGCGACAGGATCCTGCTAATCCTCGCGTATTCTTCACTCAAGCTTACATACAGCGTTGCAAAGCTAAAATACGTGGCGCTTTAAAGGCCATAACGCGTCCGACGAATGTTGCCACTATCTTGCAGCAAATTAATGTGCAAGAAAAAATCTTCCATTCTTTGTTTGATGAAATTGCGCCTGCTGGTAATGTGACATCTAAGCAGCCAAATGCACAATACATTCCACATATCTACACAAAGATGCAGGTAAGAAGCAAATATTCATTATATGCGTTGCATGTAGTATAATGCTATGTTATATATCCTACTATTATAAGGCCGACTGGGTCAATTCATTTTACAAACAAAACGGCTTTCTGGAGTACGAGGTCATTAGCAAGTTGGGTGTTTCTGAAGTGAAACAATTTATACGCAAGCAGTTTCCAAACGAAGACATTATTTACTTGAAACGCTGTGCCATTGGTTCTAAAATTATTGATCTGACGGTGCTCAGCTCATTGAATGAGTGCAGCGCTACGAAAAGCTTTGTAGACCTAGCCACCATACTGCCTTCTAATATGTCAGAGGAAGATATTGAAGAGGTTTTTGAGACGATAATTTCACGGAAGGGCACAGCACCGGGTAACTTTGTTTTCCTTCAAAGCATTGGTAAGCGAATCGCATTTTTTATAATCCTTATAAACCATTATATTTATTTAACGCCTCCAAAAGTATTTTCACAGCAATATTTGAATGACCTCATTCAGCCCTGTCACAATATTGCAAATGCCAACGCTAAAACTGCAGTTGAGAGTGGAGTTTACCAGCAATACTTAGCTGAGAAACAGCTTTCTGGCAAATCAAATTTTGTTCAAGACTTCGAGGATGATTCAAAGGCTGATAAGCGCGAAGAACGACGCAAGAAGGCTGCCACCGGTAAAGCAGGCGGGGGCAGCCAGGGGCGTGAAACTAAGACCAAGTCAACTAAGAAACACCAGCGTGGAGGGCGTGGTGCTGCTAATGCTGCAGATAGCGATGATGACCAAGATACACGTACAGGGTTAGGCAAGAAAGCGGCAAAGTCATTCGAATTAGTAAAAGTGGAAGATATAGCGAAGACCATCAACAAGACCTTGGAAGAGGAAGGATTGGAATATCTCTCCGACACAATTGCTGCACTTTATTACAGGTTCGTCATTTCGTTTATCAGTTGACCCATAGTCTTTAATGTTTCTGCTTCTCTATCTAAAGTCAATTAAATCAAATTGCACTCGCCAAGGCGCAGGAACTGTTCGAAGCAACTCCTCAAACTAATCGACGGCAGACACATGCTGCCATACAGGAGCGCATCAATACGTTAATCGTTGATTTGCGTTTATACGAGAAGGGTTTAAAGGTAAAAACTGAATATTTAGTAAATCCCAGTTTGTTACATTTTCTCTTGTATAGCTATTACCCGCCGACACGCAGACTCAGCTGATCAAATATTTGCTCAAATCCCTTGGCAATGATATTTGCAATGAACTGACCGCCTATATTGCTAGCGAAAGCAATTTAACTACGAAAATCACCAACCTCAATGTCGATCAACGCAATAAAATAGCACAAGAATGTGGTAGGAGTCCTTATAGGGTTTACATTTAAAAGAAAATATTAATAATTATTTTTTCAGATCCTCAATATAAACTAGTCTTGTTTGAACTCAACAAGGCGCTTAATAAAACAGTAGACGATTTTGTTGCTGCCACTGAGAGCGCGCTGAAAGCATGTAGCATGATCATCAAGAAAGTGGACAAGAAAAAAGATCGCCAACTGATACTGCAACACAGAGAAAAACTTCTCCAACAGCTGCAAGAGACCGTAGAACCCGCTTTGGTTCTGCACTTAGTATCTTTAATACTTTTTACAACAGTGACTGGTTGTATACTACATGCTTCCGGTAAATTCGTAGCACAAATATTGGCCTTTGTACGCCCCAGTTTGAGTAATGAGCAAAATGAACAACTTATGCAATACCACGGTGAGTAGTAAGATATTTTTGACTTGAACAACATTATTTTATTGAAAGTGTTTCGTCTTCACAGATCTTGTTTTAAAACTATTACAAGCTACGGAAGATAGCGATGAGGCGAAGCTCATAAGTGAACAGTTGCAAAGTCTACAGAATGCCATTAAGGAGTTGGCAGCATGCTATGAAAAGCCGGGCACCTCGAAAACAGAATAAATGCTGGTGCATATACAATATGAATAAACAATACCATTTTGGTAGTGATATGCCTTTTTGTAATGCAAGTCATTAATGAACATTTTTAACCATCGCTTGAAACTTATTTTTTTTATTTTTTATTTTGCAATAAATCTTCTTACATTTACGGGGTTATCGCAAAACCAATATCTGTGTTTAATTTAGGTGGGCGTACTATCATTTTAACATTTTCTATGTAGAGCGGTGTAGAATCATAAAGAAATAAACATCAAGTTTTTATGTCACAATGTATTATTTTTATTTGAAACTCTATGGAGTCTGAAAAAGTGCTTACAGCTATTTAATTAAACATCTACAATTATATAGCTAGGCCAACTACATAAACTATATACATAACGTATTCCAAAAGGAAACAAACTGCAAACGAAAGTCGTATTCAAGTGAATAACGGCGCGCTGCTGTTGTATAATTTGAGTATAAGTACCAAGTCATGTGCGAACTAATAGCTATGTAGCCGTTGCAGAATTTGCTTGGCCTTGTCGCAGGTTTGCCTAGAATTTCAGATAGAGTTGTTATAGATTTATGTCATGTATGTATGGTATGTAGTGAATTTTGAACCCTTTTTTCAATTACTTACATGAAAAGCGGATTCTTTGCATCGAATGCGTCCAAAGTCTGCTTGATGTAGGTAATTAGTAATTGCAAATTTTGCAGCGTTTCCGATTCCGGCTGTAGCCATACGGTTGGTAATGTATTAACAATTATATAAGCTTTACTTATCGCATCATTGGCTGTGCACACCTGTAAGATTGAAAATTAATAAAATGTAAGTTAGAAGTGGTTTATTATTTAAATATATATTTCTTTTTGTTACATACCCTCATAGCCAGTAGTAAATAACGGTTTAGCAATGAACCTATTGCTAGTTCACGCAAAGGTTTATCCGCAACAATGCCCTGCCAGCTAAGAAAATTTCGAAATAATTTCAGACCACTACAGAATTGGCGTTGGAAGAAAGAAGTCTTGGCCTCTTGTACTCTGAAGATCAATGGAAAATTGCAATTGTTTAATTAGCTTAGCTACTATACGGTGGTGTTTACTTACTGCTTAGGAAAAATTGGTATAAAGACGTCATTCTCTAATGCTAATTTCATTTTTTCTAAAATCTTTTCAAACAACTGCTGTAACTGCTTTGAAGTATCTTTCAGTGGGAAATCGCGACCCAAGCGGTTTATAAAGCCAATTAAACGCAATGTTTGTGTTGTCGATAGTGGATCCCAGCATTGATTGACTATATCTGCACAATAAATTTGAACAAATTAGCTAAGCATGTAAAGCATTGTGCCTTGATATTTAAATGCTTACCAGTAACTTTGGGTAATATAATTTTCTCAATGATTGTCGGTACTAAACTAACATCAACATCGAGCCGTAGAGACGTCTCGGTTTCATCCTCACTCCAAGCGTAAAGCATGCAAGCTGAATACCAATGCATTTTTTCAATATCTTTGTATTCTTCTAGCAGTGGTGACCAGGATAACATTTCAAATCGTACTAGAGGCCCCAAAATCTAGTAAACCAATAACAAAATTTATAATGCAAACGATTAGAAATGCACAACTCTTATATAAACACAATCGCTCAACTACACACCTTCGGCAAGCAGAGACTAACAAATGCATCTTTGTAAGAATTCATGTCGGTTTTGCGCCAAGCATAGAATTTCATTAAAATTAGTTCGACTTTATAAAAGTCATCGTTTACATCATTGAATATTGCCTCTGCCTCTTTATGAATTTGCTCTGTTCAAAGTAAAATCAAATATGAAATACAATTCAAATATTTGTTTCCGTTGAAAAATGCACACCCACCTAAATTACTTTGTAATTGTTCTTGGTATCGGTCCGATGTTTCATCGTCGCTGGACATGCCGTCTAAATGCGAAATGAGAAGTTCATTTTTCTCACGATCACAACGTCGGCGTGTACGTCTACCTTCACGCTCTGCAGCGCGGCGTACCTGTTCCTCCGATTCGGGGCCACGGCGTGAACCTGCAGGTTCTAAAGCAACGAAAACGAAGATTTTTACTTTAGTGACATGACCAATTGGAAATAAAATTTTGTTGCTTACTTGATGCCTCCGCCATTTCTTTAGCTTGATCGCGTATATCTTGTCGGCGGCGTTCGATGAGGAAATTCTGATGTTTTGAAAATACATGTAAACTGCGTTTCTCTAATTCATTAATTGTCGGGGTCTGAATCAGATATAAGGGAAAAGAAAATTGTTCTAAGTTTTTGTTACAACGCCCATGAAATTTTGGTTTTACAACCTTCTCAGTCAAACAGTCGATCAAATCCGCAGCATAGCACTTCAACTCTTGATAGAAACGATATTTTGCCGCCGCCGTTGGTGCCTTCTGTGTGCAATCCAATTCTTCAAGTTTTAGCACCTTTAACTCGTTCGCAATACGTTCGATATCCGACATATGTTTTTCGTTAACCTCACGCAACTTCATCAAACTGTTGAAAAAAAAGAGAAGTAAATTTCAAAGTCTTACCTAGTATAGGTCAATTAGAGAGCACTCTTAAGCTGCACATAAAACATACCGCGTTTGTATAGCATCGTGTATTTCATTTGGTGTGCGTAATGATACTGCTTTGCTCTTCTCCTTTTTTGTCTTCGTTGCTCCACTCAATATTTGCTGTGGCTTCTGTAGTGCGCTCTTTGCATATGCTTGCTCCAGCAGTGTTGATGTGGATTGTTGTTCTGGCGCATATTCCAACGCATTCGTACCGGTAGGCTTAATCATAAACCGCGAGAGTACTGCATCATGTTGAGCACTCACCAGTTGCGCACCAGTCACGCCTTTACGTATTTGTTGATTTTCCCATTCATGCATTTCTCGATCGGAATCCTCATCAGTATCTAGGAGTAGAAGTAGAAAATTGCGTGCTCCCGTAAATTGTTGTGTTTCAATCAAATGATTTGTGCAATAAACCAATATTAATAATAAAAATTGGCGCCATATTCCAGTTGACATTTAACTGGCATGTTTTTTTTTTAACTACGCAACGCTACATACAATCGTTGTTTTCCACCGCGTAAAATTGTTCACGTCGTTCCTCACGCTCCTTTTTGCCAGTTGCGACTGTCATGTCCATTCGTTCTTCATCATCCGAATTATCTCCTTCTACATCCTCGCGCGCCAATCGACTGCCCTTCTTAACTGGCTCTTTCGGTTCTTCGACGGGTATAAAGTCGCCTAGACACACAACCAAGCATTCCGAATTATTATTCAATTAACTCGTCTGAACAATTAGAAGTTAGCTTACCCTNCTTTTGAAAAGACATACCTTCCTCGCTGGACCACTGGCTTTGTACACATCCTGAAGTTTCTCCCACGCTGATTTAGAAGTCGTACAATTTTTTACATGTAGCAGCTCCGACGTCTTAACGTTCAAAGTTATTAAGGCTAATGCCTTGCCATCAGCTTTCCTGAACGCGACCTTTTCGGCCTCTGGAGTTTCCGGACATGTGGTGACCACCGGGTGCCAACAGTCCGCCGTGATCAAAAGGCTCCTCATCTGGACACACCAAGATGAAAAATTTTCGCCGTCCAATTTATCGATGCTGATATTCATTTTAAACAATTTAACAATTTACACATTTAACGATGGGACTGGGCCCATAACCCTTGTGAGACTTTGAAAGAAAAACACGATGTCAACGCTATGACAATTCAAGTTTTATTCTCGAGTATAAGAAACTTAAAGTACAGTGTAAGCACAGAAACAGAAAGATAAATGACAATGTCAAAGAAGATAATGAGTATGAATTAGGGTTGCATTTAGGAACGGTTAACAATTCGTTTAACACAACTAGCACAAATATCCACTAGGCATTGAAATGACAAAAAATATATGCCATTTAAAAAATGCCATGTAGAAATGGACATAATGATAATTTTTTTAACGTAATGACACGAACATTTTTTAATGCCCAACTTTGTCATTTGTCATTTTTGCCATTTAGGGCCAGTTTTTCAGTGCACGGCTGTAGTTTAACCTCAGTTTAAACGCCCGATATGGCTGGTTTAAACTAAGATCAGCCAATCAAATGTCAGCCAACTGTTCAATTTAAACTCAGTTTACTTAATCTAAGGCACTGAAAAACTGGCCCTTAATGCCTAGAGGAAACCCAGCATTACAATTGCATTTGTAGGCATTTAACAAGAATTGTCTTTACTCCGTTTAGTCGCCGTAAAGAAAGGAGCGCAATGGTACTGGTGTTTGATTTAACAGCGGGATTTTGTCTCTGAATGACTTCACGTGACGATTTCTACCTTGAATATATTTTGTTGCAATAGTATTGCCCCAACCGTTACATCGAATATGAGCCAAATCGGATAATAAATACGATTTTTAGTTTTATCTCGACTCCAGCGCCACCTGGCGTTTTAAGTTGTGAACCTTATTGTACTGGAACTTATAGGGAATTTACACGAGGCGATTTTTAGTTGAAAGCAACAATCGCCTAGTGTGAACTGCCTTTCAACTAATCGCTTTCAATGAAGTTGGTCGGCTGCCTACTTTCGTTCAACTTTTGGTTCAACTAATCGCCTGTGAAAGTTGAATCATATAAATTACCTATTACTGAAACACATACTAAAATTTCATTAAAATCGTTTCGGTCGTTTAAAAGGAGCTCACGCACAAACACAAGTACCGAATAATTATATATGTATTTACAGATACGTAAAAGTTGCAGTACGTTTGGAGGGCGCCACGCTCCCTTTTCTAATAACCCCCACTTGTCTCCATTAGTACCTATGGGATTGATTTCAAATATCTCCATACCAAGTTCCATGGCCCTACCACAAATACTTCCAGAGACATACGGAATGAAAAATTCGATTTGTATGGGAGATGCCACGCTTCCTTGACATGCCGAAATTGTTATCAGCCTATAACCATCCTTGGAAAGTCTGCAGTAGGTGTCCAAAAAATAGGATATAATTAGTAATGATAATAAGTATAGGTACCTTTCGAACTGTAAACCAAACATTCATTATCTTCTATGTATATCTATAATAAGTGTACCAAATTTTAAGCACATCGAACCATAACGAAGCTTTTTTCGAATGGATAGGTCCCTGGTTCCCATTCCGGAAAAAGTACACGTTTTCGGCCCCTGACATAGTGACTACTGAGAGCTATTCACAATCAAAATTTCACGAAAATCGGACCTGCCGTTCGCAAGATTACCAGGTACAAGAAAAATAACGGACTTCTCTTTATAAAGAGGATCGTATATGCTAATATAGAAAAAAAACTACCTATGTACCAGATTTCAAGCAAATCGGACCATATATGCGACTTTATCGAAAAGGCCTGATCAGACTCTGAGGTGACTCCACGCGTTGCAAGCATTGCACTTGACTGAGAGGGAGTTGTGGTGTAGTCGTCTCTGGCACACACAGCAGGCGTTAGTTTCTGACCCAGAGTTTGACGCAATGCCAGCCCTGATCAGAAGAGTACATAGCAGATGTAGCCATATGGACGAACAACGCTTGAGATATTTCACCGACCTCAACGAGGCTAGATCGCCGAAACACAACAACCTTTACTCGGGTAAAACCCGAGTCATTCCGGTGCGCAGAAGCGACTGTCGTGGGAATGAGTTGTGCCAGGCCTGCTTCTGGTCTATCTCCGCAGTTCTGCTTCTGCTATGCTTATGGGCGGAGGTCGACAACCTAGAACGATGTTGCCTTTACGAATGTTGAGGATCAGTCTAATTGCACCGCTGTGTAAGTGGTTGGTTGAGTGCTGTTCTGAAGCTCACTGTATGGAACGTATGGTCTATATAAGACTCGGTGTGGTTTGCTCATATATATGAATATATACAGCGAAAAATTCTTTCATATGCTGTCCCGCATGGATCAGTCTCGGGATCGGGATGTACGCTACCCGCCAAAATACATCTCTATGGATAAAGTTTGACAGTTACGTTTTTCTTTCACCTGCCATCATGATTCAATAATACAAGGTTCGATAAACTGACAGTTGTCTCTCTCGCACCGCTCCCTTAGCAGTGGAACCGTGTTGCTTCTTTGCAAATTTACATGGAAACAGTGTAGCTTTGGTGTGAAATAAAAGTATAAGCTTTTGTGCTATATGTTTATTTGTATATGCATATGAAGCATATTTAACTGATGAAAACATAAGCATTGGATGTTTACATCAGTCTCATAGTAGTCTTATTTTAATTCTGAGTCATTTTGCAGTTTTTATACGGCTAAATAGCATATAAATTACGTAATTCACGTAGATATATCAATATTACGTTCAACATTTCGTTTAAAATGCCAGATTTCTTGCAAATACATTAGAATTTACGAAAGGAATTTCACTACTAATTGCCTACTTTGCGTACTTTTCTACTACCATTTTCGAAACAAGGGATTGCATTCTTGCCCTTTCTCTGTCCTTCGTAAATGCAACCTTTTGTAAGGGAGTGTCAAACCGCAGCTGTCAATAATTATCTAACCTTGTATTATTGAATCATGACCTGCCATAAGTTCACAATTATCAAAATTGACGACGTGTTTATTTTGTTGTTTTCTTCGACAATTGCAGCAGACAGTGGAAGTATTATTTCTAAATTTTCACAATTAATAGACTAATAGAGTAATAATCTGTGCAAAAATATAATTTCGAAATGAGTGCTGACTGGGATGAGATTAAACGTTTAGCTGCAGACTTCCAGAAGGCACAACTGACGTCGACTCTGCAACGGTAGGTGCATTGCAATTGCCAGCCTACCAAAAAACTAAACGATTTCTCCCAAACAAATTTACAGCCTTTCTGAGAGGAATTGTGTCGAAATTGTTACCTTATTGCTGGAAAAGAACCTACTCGAAGCCTTCTTTACCAACGATGGCAAGGAGTATATTACGCCGGAGCAACTAGAACGCGAAGTACAGGATGAACTGTATGTTAACGGCGGCCGTATAAATTTAGTGGAAGTCAGCAAGACACTGAATGTAGACTTATCGCGTGTAAGATAAATACACACTATACTTACATAAAGTGCATTTAAAGTTTTTCATATTCACAGATCGAAGAAATTGGTTCACGAATCGCTGAATCAGATACAGAAATATATTTCAAGTTGGGACAATTGATTAGTGAGCAGTACATCACTCGTATCGCCGAGGAAATAAACGAGCGACTGTCACAGAAAGGTGAAATAACAATCTCCGACCTAGCGCAACAATTTGATTTACCTTCGGACTTTCTACAGCATGATGTTGTCGAGAAGCATTTAGGCAAGATCATACGTGGGCGACAGGATCCTGCTAATCCTCGCGTATTCTTCACTCAAGCTTACATACAGCGTTGCAAAGCTAAAATACGTGGCGCTTTAAAGGCCATAACGCGTCCGACGAATGTTGCCACTATCTTGCAGCAAATTAATGTGCAAGAAAAAATCTTCCATTCTTTGTTTGATGAAATTGCGCCTGCTGGTAATGTGACATCTAAGCAGCCAAATGCACAATACATTCCACATATCTACACAAAGATGCAGGTAAGAAGCAAATATTCATTATATGCGTTGCATGTAGTATAATGCTATGTTATATATCCTACTATTATAAGGCCGACTGGGTCAATTCATTTTACAAACAAAACGGCTTTCTGGAGTACGAGGTCATTAGCAAGTTGGGTGTTTCTGAAGTGAAACAATTTATACGCAAGCAGTTTCCAAACGAAGACATTATTTACTTGAAACGCTGTGCCATTGGTTCTAAAATTATTGATCTGACGGTGCTCAGCTCATTGAATGAGTGCAGCGCTACGAAAAGCTTTGTAGACCTAGCCACCATACTGCCTTCTAATATGTCAGAGGAAGATATTGAAGAGGTTTTTGAGACGATAATTTCACGGAAGGGCACAGCACCGGGTAACTTTGTTTTCCTTCAAAGCATTGGTAAGCGAATCGCATTTTTTATAATCCTTATAAACCATTATATTTATTTAACGCCTCCAAAAGTATTTTCACAGCAATATTTGAATGACCTCATTCAGCCCTGTCACAATATTGCAAATGCCAACGCTAAAACTGCAGTTGAGAGTGGAGTTTACCAGCAATACTTAGCTGAGAAACAGCTTTCTGGCAAATCAAATTTTGTTCAAGACTTCGAGGATGATTCAAAGGCTGATAAGCGCGAAGAACGACGCAAGAAGGCTGCCACCGGTAAAGCAGGCGGGGGCAGCCAGGGGCGTGAAACTAAGACCAAGTCAACTAAGAAACACCAGCGTGGAGGGCGTGGTGCTGCTAATGCTGCAGATAGCGATGATGACCAAGATACACGTACAGGGTTAGGCAAGAAAGCGGCAAAGTCATTCGAATTAGTAAAAGTGGAAGATATAGCGAAGACCATCAACAAGACCTTGGAAGAGGAAGGATTGGAATATCTCTCCGACACAATTGCTGCACTTTATTACAGGTTCGTCATTTCGTTTATCAGTTGACCCATAGTCTTTAATGTTTCTGCTTCTCTATCTAAAGTCAATTAAATCAAATTGCACTCGCCAAGGCGCAGGAACTGTTCGAAGCAACTCCTCAAACTAATCGACGGCAGACACATGCTGCCATACAGGAGCGCATCAATACGTTAATCGTTGATTTGCGTTTATACGAGAAGGGTTTAAAGGTAAAAACTGAATATTTAGTAAATCCCAGTTTGTTACATTTTCTCTTGTATAGCTATTACCCGCCGACACGCAGACTCAGCTGATCAAATATTTGCTCAAATCCCTTGGCAATGATATTTGCAATGAACTGACCGCCTATATTGCTAGCGAAAGCAATTTAACTACGAAAATCACCAACCTCAATGTCGATCAACGCAATAAAATAGCACAAGAATGTGGTAGGAGTCCTTATAGGGTTTACATTTAAAAGAAAATATTAATAATTATTTTTTCAGATCCTCAATATAAACTAGTCTTGTTTGAACTCAACAAGGCGCTTAATAAAACAGTAGACGATTTTGTTGCTGCCACTGAGAGCGCGCTGAAAGCATGTAGCATGATCATCAAGAAAGTGGACAAGAAAAAAGATCGCCAACTGATACTGCAACACAGAGAAAAACTTCTCCAACAGCTGCAAGAGACCGTAGAACCCGCTTTGGTTCTGCACTTAGTATCTTTAATACTTTTTACAACAGTGACTGGTTGTATACTACATGCTTCCGGTAAATTCGTAGCACAAATATTGGCCTTTGTACGCCCCAGTTTGAGTAATGAGCAAAATGAACAACTTATGCAATACCACGGTGAGTAGTAAGATATTTTTGACTTGAACAACATTATTTTATTGAAAGTGTTTCGTCTTCACAGATCTTGTTTTAAAACTATTACAAGCTACGGAAGATAGCGATGAGGCGAAGCTCATAAGTGAACAGTTGCAAAGTCTACAGAATGCCATTAAGGAGTTGGCAGCATGCTATGAAAAGCCGGGCACCTCGAAAACAGAATAAATGCTGGTGCATATACAATATGAATAAACAATACCATTTTGGTAGTGATATGCCTTTTTGTAATGCAAGTCATTAATGAACATTTTTAACCATCGCTTGAAACTTATTTTTTTTATTTTTTATTTTGCAATAAATCTTCTTACATTTACGGGGTTATCGCAAAACCAATATCTGTGTTTAATTTAGGTGGGCGTACTATCATTTTAACATTTTCTATGTAGAGCGGTGTAGAATCATAAAGAAATAAACATCAAGTTTTTATGTCACAATGTATTATTTTTATTTGAAACTCTATGGAGTCTGAAAAAGTGCTTACAGCTATTTAATTAAACATCTACAATTATATAGCTAGGCCAACTACATAAACTATATACATAACGTATTCCAAAAGGAAACAAACTGCAAACGAAAGTCGTATTCAAGTGAATAACGGCGCGCTGCTGTTGTATAATTTGAGTATAAGTACCAAGTCATGTGCGAACTAATAGCTATGTAGCCGTTGCAGAATTTGCTTGGCCTTGTCGCAGGTTTGCCTAGAATTTCAGATAGAGTTGTTATAGATTTATGTCATGTATGTATGGTATGTAGTGAATTTTGAACCCTTTTTTCAATTACTTACATGAAAAGCGGATTCTTTGCATCGAATGCGTCCAAAGTCTGCTTGATGTAGGTAATTAGTAATTGCAAATTTTGCAGCGTTTCCGATTCCGGCTGTAGCCATACGGTTGGTAATGTATTAACAATTATATAAGCTTTACTTATCGCATCATTGGCTGTGCACACCTGTAAGATTGAAAATTAATAAAATGTAAGTTAGAAGTGGTTTATTATTTAAATATATATTTCTTTTTGTTACATACCCTCATAGCCAGTAGTAAATAACGGTTTAGCAATGAACCTATTGCTAGTTCACGCAAAGGTTTATCCGCAACAATGCCCTGCCAGCTAAGAAAATTTCGAAATAATTTCAGACCACTACAGAATTGGCGTTGGAAGAAAGAAGTCTTGGCCTCTTGTACTCTGAAGATCAATGGAAAATTGCAATTGTTTAATTAGCTTAGCTACTATACGGTGGTGTTTACTTACTGCTTAGGAAAAATTGGTATAAAGACGTCATTCTCTAATGCTAATTTCATTTTTTCTAAAATCTTTTCAAACAACTGCTGTAACTGCTTTGAAGTATCTTTCAGTGGGAAATCGCGACCCAAGCGGTTTATAAAGCCAATTAAACGCAATGTTTGTGTTGTCGATAGTGGATCCCAGCATTGATTGACTATATCTGCACAATAAATTTGAACAAATTAGCTAAGCATGTAAAGCATTGTGCCTTGATATTTAAATGCTTACCAGTAACTTTGGGTAATATAATTTTCTCAATGATTGTCGGTACTAAACTAACATCAACATCGAGCCGTAGAGACGTCTCGGTTTCATCCTCACTCCAAGCGTAAAGCATGCAAGCTGAATACCAATGCATTTTTTCAATATCTTTGTATTCTTCTAGCAGTGGTGACCAGGATAACATTTCAAATCGTACTAGAGGCCCCAAAATCTAGTAAACCAATAACAAAATTTATAATGCAAACGATTAGAAATGCACAACTCTTATATAAACACAATCGCTCAACTACACACCTTCGGCAAGCAGAGACTAACAAATGCATCTTTGTAAGAATTCATGTCGGTTTTGCGCCAAGCATAGAATTTCATTAAAATTAGTTCGACTTTATAAAAGTCATCGTTTACATCATTGAATATTGCCTCTGCCTCTTTATGAATTTGCTCTGTTCAAAGTAAAATCAAATATGAAATACAATTCAAATATTTGTTTCCGTTGAAAAATGCACACCCACCTAAATTACTTTGTAATTGTTCTTGGTATCGGTCCGATGTTTCATCGTCGCTGGACATGCCGTCTAAATGCGAAATGAGAAGTTCATTTTTCTCACGATCACAACGTCGGCGTGTACGTCTACCTTCACGCTCTGCAGCGCGGCGTACCTGTTCCTCCGATTCGGGGCCACGGCGTGAACCTGCAGGTTCTAAAGCAACGAAAACGAAGATTTTTACTTTAGTGACATGACCAATTGGAAATAAAATTTTGTTGCTTACTTGATGCCTCCGCCATTTCTTTAGCTTGATCGCGTATATCTTGTCGGCGGCGTTCGATGAGGAAATTCTGATGTTTTGAAAATACATGTAAACTGCGTTTCTCTAATTCATTAATTGTCGGGGTCTGAATCAGATATAAGGGAAAAGAAAATTGTTCTAAGTTTTTGTTACAACGCCCATGAAATTTTGGTTTTACAACCTTCTCAGTCAAACAGTCGATCAAATCCGCAGCATAGCACTTCAACTCTTGATAGAAACGATATTTTGCCGCCGCCGTTGGTGCCTTCTGTGTGCAATCCAATTCTTCAAGTTTTAGCACCTTTAACTCGTTCGCAATACGTTCGATATCCGACATATGTTTTTCGTTAACCTCACGCAACTTCATCAAACTGTTGAAAAAAAAGAGAAGTAAATTTCAAAGTCTTACCTAGTATAGGTCAATTAGAGAGCACTCTTAAGCTGCACATAAAACATACCGCGTTTGTATAGCATCGTGTATTTCATTTGGTGTGCGTAATGATACTGCTTTGCTCTTCTCCTTTTTTGTCTTCGTTGCTCCACTCAATATTTGCTGTGGCTTCTGTAGTGCGCTCTTTGCATATGCTTGCTCCAGCAGTGTTGATGTGGATTGTTGTTCTGGCGCATATTCCAACGCATTCGTACCGGTAGGCTTAATCATAAACCGCGAGAGTACTGCATCATGTTGAGCACTCACCAGTTGCGCACCAGTCACGCCTTTACGTATTTGTTGATTTTCCCATTCATGCATTTCTCGATCGGAATCCTCATCAGTATCTAGGAGTAGAAGTAGAAAATTGCGTGCTCCCGTAAATTGTTGTGTTTCAATCAAATGATTTGTGCAATAAACCAATATTAATAATAAAAATTGGCGCCATATTCCAGTTGACATTTAACTGGCATGTTTTTTTTTTAACTACGCAACGCTACATACAATCGTTGTTTTCCACCGCGTAAAATTGTTCACGTCGTTCCTCACGCTCCTTTTTGCCAGTTGCGACTGTCATGTCCATTCGTTCTTCATCATCCGAATTATCTCCTTCTACATCCTCGCGCGCCAATCGACTGCCCTTCTTAACTGGCTCTTTCGGTTCTTCGACGGGTATAAAGTCGCCTAGACACACAACCAAGCATTCCGAATTATTATTCAATTAACTCGTCTGAACAATTAGAAGTTAGCTTACCCTGCTCTCTAGCCTTTTGACGACGTTTTCGCGCTGCGTGTATCATGGCCGCATCCGGTATAGAACCACTTTCTAACATTTGTTTCAAGTGTTCAGGCTTAGAGAAACGATGTTTGTCATCAGGATCATCTTCTTCCTCTTCTGGCTCATCCTCATCCGACATATCGTTGCGGCCTGCACATATTGCGGCGCGTCCATTAAGAATAACATCAGGCTCAGATTTTTTAACAACGAGCTGTGGACAATATCGTACAAGGACAATGTTAATATACTTAAAGGGAAATCCGGTTTTACTTTAAAAACAAGTTATAGAAAAGGAGATGACAATTTTGTTTCTACAAAAGCAAAAATTTTTGGGAAAAGTTTCCATACAATTTAATTGTGGCATGTCTTAAGGTCTGACGATTTTTGATTCCATATTTAATACCGTGGATTGGCAACTATCAAATTGTTTTGTTTGAATTAATAAGCACTAGAGCACTAAATTGGCAGCTCTTGAAAAGAGATATTAGCAACAAAAACCACTCCATGCAAGTTAACTTATATACATATGCACATATTTATTCAAGCCTTAAGAAACATTGAATATAATGTTGCTTAGTTTTTGTTGCTTGATAAATTAATTAATACTAAAAATTAAATTAATTTTAAAAAATAGTTACAAAATCTTATTAAAATATTTATACAACATATATAGTTTTAAAACGTACACAATTGTAGAGTAACCCTTTTAGGCGCAAAATTCACAAACTCCACCTAAATAATTTTTCGTACCCCTTTCGAACCTATTCTTTTTTTATTTTTATTAATTTGCGCCGAAAAGGACTACCAAAAGAACCCAAAACGGTGATTAAAAAAATGTGTTTACTTCACCGTATTAGTCTGTACAATATTTCTAAGAAAAGCATTTCGCAATTGATTGCTGCCAAATTTTAATGATTTAGTTATCTAATAAAACAGGAATTAAAGTCAGATAATATCGTGAAAAATCCACTTCCTTATTCCGGGATATATCTTTATAATTACAACATTGTATGGTGCAATTGCGTATTTTATATAAATTATGTATATATGGTCTTTTGTCAGCGAATGCGAAATGCTTCTCCCGCTTTTTTCTCAAAGCCTTAGCAGCTTTGTCGCATATGAACACTCCACGTACCATGTACTGTGAAGCGCTGCGCGAAAAAAGCTTTTATATTTTTCTCACTTGGAAATTTTTTATTCTTTTTTATATAAAAACATGTAGGGAAATTGATAATAATAACCTTACCACAAAGTCGTCTGTGCGTATTTCTGTTTGGATACTATCAGATTTTTTACTTTTACACTGCTCAGCAGCAGATGCTGAGGCAATGCCTACGGCTTTTCCGCCCATGGTTGCCAGCGTGGTTGTACCCTTATATTTATTGCTAGAGGTTGTTGCTGAACCTAAATTGTAAGAAATATTATTGCTGCTGCCACCAGTAGATCTTCCATTATCGATACGGTCATGCGATTGCTGCCGATCGCGTTGTCTACTTGTCGAGCTGCCACCGGTAACACCGAAACTAGAACCTGCCGTAGACTGTGAACTTTGGCGTTCCTCTTTTCGTTTTCTGCGCCGCTCGCGATCCAGCATTCGCATAATTTTTTTGCTGTTTGATGATTTGCGAACTTGAAATACCTCCGTATCCTCCTCTGCAAATCCATAAAAGATTGTATGTTAAAAAAAGGAAGTACGTGTGCTGTTGTAACTGATTAAATGAAATGATATTGATTTTACACCATAAACACACACATCCCGAAACTACCCAATCGCTAAATGATTCCTTACCGTCGTCTGCAAAACTTAAAAGCGCTTTAGGTTTCTGCTCCTCGACTTTTTCTACTTTACTAGCGGATTTTTTGCTACCGCCATCTTTATTCTTTTTATTAATCTGCACCGGTTGTTCTCTATCAATGTCCATTTCCATTGTATCTGCTGCATTTTCTTCGTCATCCAAAGTGCTAAACACACGCCGCTGAATTTTCTTTGGTTTTCGGAAGAGCGACATTGTTGTTATTGTTGCTTATTCTCAAAGTAATGTTGATCAATTTTGTAATATATTAACTAAGAAAACTTTTGAAATACAATAAAATATGAGAAAAAGTGGAAAACTATTCCTCGTCTGGCCTAAATAGGGATGTTCCGATACAAGTAAATACGAGTATGTACTCGATACTTTTGTCTCGATACCAACTATTTTTTTTACTCGAATCATTGTTTCGATACCTACTTGGGATCGAAAGAAAAGTACTTCTATCGAATCGATTTGAATATTGTCGGCTATATTTTTCTATGGAAAATAATCGGGCAGGTTCTGTAATTCACTTCCGAGTGAATTTCAATCCCTGCCAATTTGAATTCAAAGCGAGTTTGATTGAAATTCACTCGAAAGTGAATTGCCTGAATATGAAAAATAATTGCTTAAAGCAATGGTACCGCCAAAATCTAAAGTGTGGATATATTTTTACAAAGTTAGTAATACCACAGCAAAGTGCGAGCAACGCTTTGTAACCGTAAAGTTTTGTGGGAATCTTTCAAAGGTGGAATTTTTTCTCTAAGTAATAGTATTACTTCTAGTGTTACTAATAAAAATAAACACACCGATACCTCAACTGAAAATATATTGAATCGGCAGCTGAGAGGGCGTTTTTGAACCAAATTCTGAAATAGGGTGTTCTTGAAAAGTTTTCTGAGGTATGGCGTTTTTTAATCAAATTCGAACTGGTTGCCGAGATAGGTCGACCTTCCACTCAGGTGTCGCAAAAGGTATGTCACAGATAACGCCTGAAAATTACTTTCGCTTTGTTGCATTAAAAGGATGAAAAATTATCGATATAACTAGGTATCGATACATTCGGTTCACTCATAAACGTAGTATCGAAATAGCGGTTTGTATTAACTCATTTGAGAAGGTATCGATACTTTGAGGGTATCGGAACGTCCCTAGGCCTAAAATTTGCAAATTTTCTTGTCTGACGTTTGTACATTTTTGACAATCAAGCGTACTTGATGTGGCCATATTGCCAGGAATCCGCGAACTAGTAATAAATCGATTATTCGATAAATCTAAAACCACATTCGGGTCAGGAACGGAAGTGAATTTTGAAAATGCACCCAATTTGAAAAAAAAAACCTAACCGCTGTTAAATGTACTTAAAACATAAATGAAGCTGGTCACTTTTCGTTTCCGTGTATTTACCACGGGCGGATTAAAATATTTGGGTATATGGAATTCGACAAATCTTTGTGATTAGTAATAAGAGAAATCACGGAAAACTAGCTCCGTCCGAATTGAGAAGAGACTCATCGGGATTTTCGAAAGGCCAATGCAAGGCGAATTTATACAAGTTGGTGTTACTGGCGGAAATGATGTGTTTGTTGTAAACAAGGTGAATTCATATTACAACAAACACATAATTTTGACATTCACTAGTACCGCTGCGAAAATCAAAATTCGCCAGTTACCCCACCTTGAATAAATTCGCCTTGGGCCGATGATTAAGATTTGGCAAAACATCAACACACACCCCAGCCTGTTGTTTCGCACTTTCCTCAAGAAATAATGGTACGGCCATATATTTCTGTTGCAGGCACGGGATACCTTGTGCTCTTTTTTCACAAAAATCTTTAGAAAACCGTAGAAGAAAGCGTAGCAAATTTCTTAAGAACTGCGCACTTCCTTAAGAAAATTTCTTAGCCATTTATTGTACTTCAATTTATATAAATTTTTGCTTTTCTTGAGAGCTGTATACTGGCCTTAACGCACAAAATTACAATTCATAAGTTCGTTATGTAGCAAATATGAAATATAGGTATATCCACTTAAATGTAAACGGGTTAAGAATCAAAGTACTAGAGGATATATGAGCATTTGGTACAAAAAGTATTTTTGGTGTTGAAATTGTACTTAAAGTCGACAAATTGTACTTTTGTACTTTCTAAATTTAATTGTACTAAAAAGAGTACAATTGTACTTAAAATATCAACACTGGGTCGGGGCCTGTAGGAAAATAACGCACCTATAACGAGTTCGCTTTTTAAATTGCAAAAGTCCGGCAACACACTTCAATAAATTTGTCGCAGCGGCTGGTAACTGCAACAGCAGCTGCTTTTAATTAGTTGGGTGTGTTAAATAGCTCAGTACTTTTTAAGCAAGTACTTATCAGAATCTCGTTAACAGGAAAATATAAGATTCCGATTGGAATTTATTGTTAATCTAAAATGGGGCTAAAAGGTTGTGAAATTCAATTGGATAATCCGTGGAATACATATTACGCCGGTCAAACGATTAACGGACAGGTGAAATTGACTTTTGATTCCACGAAAAAAGTGCGAGGTATGTAGGAACAAGTAGAAAAAGTAAAATCTTATTAGAATAAATTTAAAATTGCGTATGGTATAACTACATACATATTTACATATCCAATGGATGCATTTTATATTAGTAAATTGGTGGTTTGTGAATAAATTCGAATGTATTACTCACCCATGACGACATACTCCGTAGCGCATCACATCATCGCGTTGTGGGACAATCGGCTGCGTGATGCACCCATTACTATTGGGGCCGGGGGCGGTGGGAACACTGCTAACCTTCACCTCTAAACCCCCTTTCTTAATACAGCATTAGGCGGCTCTACAGCTACACGTACACATTTCATTCCAAAGCTATTTAAATTTTTGCGTGCCCAATACGCTGTTGTTGTTGGTATGGGTAGTGCGGATTTTGTCTAGAGATCGACGAAACTTGAAAAAGCGGTTTCGTGCTTCACTTTGCACGTATATATGTACATATGTATGAATTTTCTTCTTTTTTTTTTTGTGTATAGACGGCTGACAATGACCCTCTCCATGCCCCATATCTGCCGAAGTATTTGGAATTTGCAAGAATTCTATAGTCCGGCTAATTCATACATGCATGTACATATTTGCACGAAGTAGCACTCCCCCAACAAACATACAGTGGAATTTCGTATTATGTGTACATACATATATGTATGCACACATACCTATGTGTATTGTTTCTAATTTTAACTACTTGAAGGAAATTGTTGTTGCACCGTAAACGTCAGCAGCATCATATCTTGAGCGTGTTTTGCGTCTAAGTACTAACTTACTTTCATTTTAAAGTGAAACTAAACTAATATACCGATAGTTAGCGGGTGCGGTTATTGAACTGCTCTAGAGCAGACCCAATGGGTGCATTTGTATGTATAATGCAAATGCGTTACAATTGCTGGCCATCAAGTAGAGGCTTTTTAATTATCTATACAAATAATTTGATTAGTGCTAATATTTTACCAAAATTTTCAGTCAATGGAAGAATCGTGAGTATGATGTCATCTTTCAAATGATAAATAAGCTACTGCAAAGCTCTTAGGTATATGTATGTACATATGTATGTGTGTAAGAATGTACCAGTATGTATTACTAATAAAATGCGCAAAAAATTAATCCCTATTTTTTAAGTATTTTTGATATATGTATTTAAATTACGTTTTTTTGCATCAGTACATGTACATACATACATACATACTTACATATATAACATAAATATATAAATTTTAAAATTTAAACTATAAACTCCAATAAACCTTACACCAGTTTTGCAATAACTTTATTTAAATCTTCCTAAACTTCTTTTTAGGTATTATAATAAAATTTCTGGGCGAAGCCAATACTGAATGGTCCGAGACCAAAACTGTAACCACTAGCGAAGGAAAGACTGAACAAGAAGAGGAAAAATTGCGTGGTCATGAGGAGTATTTTCAAATACAATACTACCTTTTGGGCGGCAAGAATAGTAAGTAAAGGAAAGGTTAATAATTGCCCACGTTCTTTTCCTTATTCTATAAAAAAAAAAAACATTATAACAATTACAAAATTAAAAGAACCTTGCAAACCATACTCTCATTGCAACCGGAATAGTACAGAAATCTTAAAGAATTAGTAAATAAAACATTATTTTACTTTCCGATTTTGTGCCGATGAAATATGTAGGCTATGCACAATTCCACTCTTAATAAAAATTATGCCGCGCTGTGAAGAAATCCTTCAGAATTTTCTCTAGAAAATCGTACAGTTGTAACTGCAAAATAATATGGTGGTATGTAAAAGAGGCGTGGGACTCTACTATTTTTTTTTGTTTTTATATGCATTGCAAACAAGAAATTTTGCTGCACTATTTGACCCTAAAAGTAGGCAACAAAAAATACATAAATATTAACATTGGATTGTGCAACAAACGCATTGATAATTTCTAATCTTTTTTATTCTACAGGTTCTGAGACTGAGCTTCCAGCCGGCACACACACTTATCCATTCACATGTGCATTGCCGCCCACACTACCCTCCTCATTCGAGGGTGAATTCGGTCATGTGCGTTATACGATCAAAGTAACCTTGGATCGCCCGTGGAAATTCGATCAGGATATGAAAATGGCATTCACGGTTATTTCACCGGTCGATCTCAATGTAAATCCACGTGTAAAGGTATGGGAATCTGATATTAAAAAAATCAGCAAATATAATTTCTGCATATTGATTTTGTTTTATTTTAGGAACCCTATAAGCTCGAATTGGAAAAAAGCTTTTGCTGCTTTTGTTGTCGCTCAGGTCCATTGTCAGTTGTTACTACCGTACCGGTGACTGGGTACGTTTCTGGCCAAACAATACCAATTACTTGTGAATGCGACAATGCTAGTAATGTTGGCATAACATCGGTAAAGTTTATTTTGCGCAAACGTGTCACGTTCCAAGTTAATCAGCCGCGTGCCGATAAAAAACAAAGCAAAATTACTATTGCCGAATTGGGTATTGGCCCTGTTGCGGGCGGTGAGACGCGCACTTTTACACAGCAATTGGAAATACCAGCACTGCCACCAACAAATTTGCTCAATTGCGGTATTATTTCGTTGGATTATGATTTGCATGTAAGTTGGCTGAGTCGTTTAGTATAATGTGCATGAATATCAGACTAACCGTAATTATTTAAAAAAAATATTTAAAAATGTATAGCTATATAGCGTTATCTCTATATACATACATATCGTCGTTTAAAGTACAAAACCGTGTATCAAGAAAATGCAAAACCTCATAAGTGAGGTTGCCAAAATTTTACAGTAGAGAAAAAAACATGTCTTATTTCAAAAGGGTTCTCTCTTTTATCTCTTCTGAATGGATAAGGGCTTGATGCCGGATGTCAGTTACGAGGTTTCCACGATACGCGGTTTTGTAGTTTAAACGACTATATTTATGTGCAAATGCTCTTAAAGGAAATTTTCCTAACATTTTGTAAAAAAATACACTTTGTATTGCAATTACTTTCAGATTGAATGTGAAGTAAGCGGTCCACATCGTAATTTATCTGGTAATATACCCATCATTTTGGGTACAATTCCATTAGCATCGTTCAAGCCACCAGCACCATATACGGATGTGCCAGCACAAATACCACCACAGCAGCAAGATCAAGATCCATCACTGGCACCTACGCAACCGGTTAGTCCAGCAAGTCCCCCAAGTGATGGTGCAGGTGGTGCGTTGGGTTGGAATGTAGCAGATAGTGCTGGTGGGCAACTATATCCGAATATACGTAAGTTTCAGCAACTCAGTTTGTTTTATAAATTAAAAAAGTTAAATGTTTTTTTATTTAATTAACAGCACCACCGCAATTTGTGGAGACACAGTTTCGTGCGCCAAAAATAACAGGCAACGAGGATTCAGAACATACAACAGTTGTGGGTGATGCTAGCTTTGCGCCACGCTATCCAACTTTCCAATTTAATAATGCAACTGCTCCGCCACTTCATTAAAGCAAGGAAAATTTAAGTCAATTGGCGTCTAGAAAGACAGCGTCGGAAAGACATCACATGCATATACATAAATACATATATATAAATGTTTTTGTTCGACAGCTACTATGTTTTGTTGCAGTTTAAATGTCGCACAAATCTAAAAAATAAAATAATTTTCACTCGTTTGGTCATAAACTACGCTTCCTTTCAGTTAATCTAATGGAAAATGCAATTGGCATCCGTCCGCAATGCTTCTTAAATATATATTTTATTTCTCATAAAGTTAAAAATACGATGAAATCAATAAAGGAAGATTAAAATAAAGACGAGTGCCTAGAAAATTTGCAATTATTAGCGCAACAATTATTAGCTTAAATTACAAATATATGTAACTAGTTGTTAATTTCACTAAAAGTTAAATGAAACAAAACGAATTTTTATAACAATTTGAACAACTATTTTAGAAACTCTAGCAATAACAGTTGTTTAAAGCATTTTTTTGTCTTTTCATATAATTAGCAAATAAAAAATGCATACAGGCATGAATGTACGCATGATTGTAGCATTTGAGGAATTTTTATAACTCGTACGCACATTTCTATAGTTCAGTTTATTTTTCTACTTTATATGTATTTATGAATATTTAGCTAAAAAAGGCAGCCATAAATATATAACAATTTACCATATTTTAAATAAGTTATATCGCATCTTTAATTGATATAAATACATATGTGTATGTAAATATGTATAAGATATGTATATGAAGCATTCATGGTTTTACAATTTTTTGGTATTAAATATTTGTTTCTTTAAAACATAAAAAAATGGCGTATGCAAATATACCCTCAAAATTTTATTACAAAATTTACTGCTTATTTAGAAAACGGGTTTTTATTGTTTTTATCGCGTTTTTGTACGTGTTTCATCACTTTCACAGGGTTACCTTTGCCGGTTTTGGCCGTCTCGAAGGCTTCTTTAGATTTTTCGATATCAAAATGGTGTGTGACTAACTTTTTTATTCCCGTGCCACCTGCTGCTACCAATTGCAAGGCATATGGATAGCTATAGATACTAGTTTAAATTGATATATTTTAAATCCAAGAAAATATTTCTGATAACGTTTTATTTATTACTCATTGCAATAACGAAAGACGCCCTTTAGGTCAACTTCCTTCGAGATAGCCACCATTAAGAGTAATTTGACTTCGTCAGCACCCATGCCAATAATTACACATTTACCACCGACACGTGTAGCCTTTATTGGAGCATAGATACATACATATGTAATTTGTTTAAAGAAATATTTATATTGTTCAGAAAATTCAGTTTTAACTTAACGAAAACCTCAAAAAACAAAAGTAAGAACGAACTTAAGTATATAAGGATGTACGAGGCCATCAGAACTAGAGTAGCCTATGTACAAAAGTATTAAACAAATTGAGATAATGGTCTCAACTTTTAAGCAACCAAAGGTTAAGGTTTTAGCTGAGCGGGTTTAAATCGGCAAATTAATCGGGCAATTCTGGCTAAAATAGTTGCAAGTCTTTTGTAAGACAATTGAAAGACAGGAGGCAAGATATGTAACTTGAAAGATTTTCTTTATTCTGGAAAAAGTCTTACAAAAAGGCCCCCTTGCCAACTTTCATGGTGAAAGGTTCTTTTGAAAGAGAAGTTTTAAATGGAGATGTATACATACATACATAAATATGTATATCATTTGGCTCGCGCTACGACAAGTGTCGCAATAGCCGAGGGAGAAAGGCCATTCGAGAGATCCGATAAATCAATTTTGCTTCTTTTATAATTTAATTTTGCTTAATTTTACAGATTTTGCTTTTAATTTCATTTAACTTTTAACTTATTTTATTTTATTTTTTCTTTTTTTAACCGACTTCATAAAAAGGAGGAGGTTATCAATTCGTCGGTATATATGTAATTTTTATGTATGTATCAGAGGTGCTCCCATACTAAATACGTTTAGATCTGATCATTGCTTCATGAACAAATTGAACAGTACTCTTAAATTTGTATATGAGAATTGAAGTCGGTTTTGGTTTTTGCTTAAAAATTACTTGTTTTAATTTAATTTTCTTTTAATTTATAGATTTCACTGTTTCATATTTTCATTTAATTTTTAGGAACTTATTTTATTTTATTTTTCAATATAATTTTAAGATTTTATCGCTTTAGAAAGATATAAATATATTTTTTTTAATTTCATTTCATTTTCAGAAACTTATTTAATGTTTTCTTTTTTAATTTAATTTTTAGATACCATTGTTTTATAAAGGATTTATTTTTAATTTCATTTAATGTTTAGGAAATAATTATTTTTCTCTTCAATTTAATTTTCCTTTAATTACTAGATTTTATTGTTTTAGAAGAAAAAAATACCAATTTTTAATTTAATTTAATGTTTAAAAACTTACGTATTAATTTAATTTTTTTTAATTTTTATTTATTTTTGGTTTTAATTTTTAGTTGTTATTGTTTTGAAAAGAAAAATTCATACATACATATCTGTTCGTATGGAATAGTAGCTTATGTCGACAGCCTGGCTTTAGTATAATGCGGAATTCGCAGCATACGATTGCGAATGACTCACTGGCTCCGAACCGTTGACGAGCTTTTGGAAAATAAACGTGCACGAAATAGTTCCGATATTGGCAAGTCAATATTCTTATTAAGTCATCAAAAATTCCTTGTCGTTTAAAGAATAAAAGGAATGCCGCATTATACTAAAGCCAGCTTCCCGACATGAGCTTCTATTCCATACGAACACAGATATGTATGTATGTATATTAGGGTGCTCAAAGAAAAAAGTAAAGTCACCAGTTTTCCATGTAGTTTATATGGGAATAAACAAGTTTTCGTAGAAATGGGAAAATAATTCTTGAAAATCAATATTTTTCGATCGGAAAACTCTGGTTCTCTTCAGGAGACTTCCAGTAATAATATACAGTTGTTTATTTAACCATTTCTTAACACTAAAGATTTTTTATTGGTCCCCCATTGCATTTTCTGGGGTTTTTGGCGTACCTATAAAGTATAGTTACTATGATAAAAAAATGGTTAAAAAAACAATTGGGTATTATTATTGGGGAAAAAATATTCAGCCCAATTCTTATTACTCTCGGGGAGTTTGTTCTACCGACAAAGGAAATCCTTCAATAAATAACTCCCAGGGCAGGTAGCATTTTCCCAAAAACTTCGGAGGAGGAAATTCGAACTTCGAAAAAGCTGTTTGCTACATTTCTGAGAGCTCAACTCCGCCATTTAATATAAAAAAATTCTCAGGAAATTTTTATTCATGTTAGGAGGAAAGGGAAAAGAGAAAAAAACTCCCAGGGAGTTTCTGTTCAGAATCGGCCTGATTGATTTTCTAGAATTCTATACCACATCTACCAAATTTCTTTTCTATATAAACCACATGGAACACTTTGAGCGCTTTGAGCGACCTCTAAATATTTTTTGATTTCAAAATAAAAACAGGGATATCGACCCCCTTTTTTATTGTATGTTACATTTTTTTCGAAATTCATTTTTTGGTGCAACTTTATTTAAAACCCATAAATCCCAATAGCTACCCCAAAAATTGACTGTAAATTTTATCGTGTGTCAATGATATTTTTCTTGTGGGCCAAATTATCATGTGCTACGAAATTAACCTTACTACAAAAAAAAATCTTGCGTTTAATTATATTTCTCAATTATCTCAGCAAATCTAAACTTTGGTATTGATGGTGCTAACCAAAGCAAAGAAAAATACAAAAAACACTTTCCTGTAAAATTTGGTTTTTGTAACATTCGATAATTTTGCGCAAAGGGGTCCGTATATTTCTTTCGGTATAGAACAACCCTAGGGGGCGAGAGCATAAAAATTCCGACTTTACTTTTTCACATGTATTTTTGGACCACCCTGATGTATATATGTATGTTCTTAATTTAATTAAATTTTTAGAAAACTTTGTTAAAAGAAAAACACTAGAGACTCCTCGTCAACAGATCTTTCAATTAGTCTTTGGAATTATTGGAAATTAATTTTCAAATAGAGCGATAGTAGAACTTTCTAATTTCTGGGATTTCATTATTTTTTAAAAATTATTATGCTAACTGTTTTTGCAGTCGCATAAATGCTTCGACAGTCCTTGGTCAGTAAGAAAGCTGTGCCGCTTAAGTCCCCTCTTGTAATGGATTTAGTCGTGTCGGACTTTGTGTTTTGAGATGCTGAAAATCGTACTATCTTAACCCTATTCGGACAAGATTCTGGTCGAAATAATTCGAACACCGCCAATTTTATTTATGGACCTACATGTATTAAAAGCATCTTTATGCTGAAGGCTTGCATACTAGGCCTAAATGCGGATATTTACGCCCTGTTTCATTTATAGCTTACATGCACTCCCAGCGCCACAGTCTCTTCGGTGCCAACACAGTCGAGCGTCTTATCCGATGTAACCCCAATACTTTTGATTATTTCCTTAGCCATCAGCTCCACATCCAAACACTTGCACAATTTCATTGCGTAGGTCGCACCCAATTCCTGAGCCAACTTGAGTCGATGCTTCCTCCATTGTCAAATGATCAGGCAATTGCCATGCACCGGTGGAGCTGCACAGAATTTCATTTTGGGACATAAATTGTATTGACCACTAATACACATGTCCCAATAGCGACAAGCTTGTCCCGGCTCAATAGCTACACGATCGCCTTCTTTAAATTTTTTCACATCCTTCCCCACTTGTGCGACAACGCCTGAAGCTTCATGCCCAATAACCATGGGCCTATTGACTTCCAATGAACCGACTTTGCCACGTACCAAAAAATTTATATCAGTACCAACTGAGTCAATGGCAAGTAGTACCTCTGGGGAGTATGAGAATACATTAATAAAATAACTGTTAATACAAATGCTTTTCAAAAATATACCACATTTCAAACTTACCCCTGAGCCAGCTTTCGGCATTGGCGTTTATTCCTAATATGTGCATATATGGCAATATTAGTCCCAAATTTGTTTACTTCTTATTTGTATAAGTTCTATAAAATCGCTTGCCACACGCAAATCCCCGACGCCATGCCACAACACGGACAAGTTGTCCTCTTTACTCTTGTTCCCTTTGTAAGCTTTACCACCATCACCGCATTTCGAATTCGAACGCTTTATTATACCCGAGCGCACTTGTGCACAAGGGTATTATAACTTTGTTCACATAACGGTTGTTTGTAACAGGCAAAACGAATCGAGATAGATATAGNCTAATTTACTTAAAATGTATACACCCCGGCTTATCATGTAGCGGTAGCTTTCGGAAAGGTGGAAAACATATATTTAATACTTGCGCCGGGTA